TAGACAGCTGTTGGGCATAGACCTGGCGTAGACAGCTGCTGGGCAAAGACCTGGTGTAGACAGCTGTCGAGAACATCTACCCCACAACTCCAGGAACCGCCCTTATGAATAAAAGTAGAGATGTGACGAGGGTGAAGGGGAAGAGAGAAAAATGAACATTTATTGAGTATACCACAGTTTCTATTCTCTTGACAAAAGCCCTAAGATATAAGCATTATGATCCACATTTTAAAGATAAAGAAAATGAGTCTGAAGTAGGTTAAGTAGCTTCCCTAGGGCCATATAACTAAGTGGTGCAGGTAGAATTCAGCCCGCCTTGTTTGAGTTTTCCCAGTTTTAAAAAGATGATGAACAGGAAACATGATGACGAACTGACTTGCTTAAGGAAAACACTAAGTCAGCCCTGAAATCAGGTCTCTTTAAACAAGATGGGATCCCACTCTCACAACGCCCCCTGCTGTGGTCTCCAGAAATGAAGGTGGTTCTAACGGAAACCCACAGACCCTGTCATCACACGGTACACACCTTTCCGGCCTCCATATAAACACATAAGTGCCTCCCTGGCTGACTCCCGACGTGTATTAGGATGCCAGTGAGGCTTCTTGGGCGAATGCTGAAGACCAGCTTAAATTTGGGCCCCAACAGCACAGAGTTAGCTTTCAAAAGAAAAAAAAATTAGAACATCATAATTCAAGAAAAAGGACCGAGTTCTTCAGACTCTAAGACATAAACTCTTCCAAACTGCCCCTTACCTAGGATGACATGACCTCCTTCCTGGGAGAAATAAATGCCTTTCTCCAAAGAGCCATCCACGCAGGGGGACACACCAACGCTCACAGAAGGGGTGTCCAGGGGTTTCAGATCCAGCTGAAAGTTCCTCAGGCATCCCACAAAGCTGTTTTGGGGGAGGCTCTGCAACCAAGCGGAAGAGAAAGCAAACTTCATTAAGTCACACCTCCCAGACACACAGGGGCAGCCAAGGTTAAGGGCAGGGCAGTTGTCTGCAAAAGCAGGCAGGTAGGGGGATTCAACCATCCTGCCCGAGGCAGGTGGGCCTGACGGTTGTATTTGGCTCCCTGCCCACACTGCCAAGAAAAACCTGCATACCAGATGTCCGGTGGGTGGCTGAAGTTTGAGGGGGCCACCAAACCAAGCGGTGTGTGTGCAGAGGGCAGGGGCGGCGGAGGCTGCTGGCCAGTGCTGGTCGGGGACCTGACCCTGGTCTGCACAGACAGGGCTGTAACGGGAAATTTCTGCCTTACAGTGTACATAGCTCACCGTCTCTTTGCAGGTACAAACCACTTCTGAAGTTTTCATGAGCCTATGTGATTGCTTAATGCAGGGCAGCTGACTGAAAAAGAGGCCAAAACATTCCAAAAATAATAAAGTGTAAAAAAGCTTCCTACATTGTTGGGCTCGGTGCACCACCAACAAATCACGAATGCCGTGGAGTTAAAATAAGACCCAATGCCCAGCCTCGGGCGCATGCGCAGAGCACCTCCAGGCGGCCTGGAACAACGACCCAAGGATGCACCTCAGGATTCTGTGATCCCTGAAATTATATACCGATGTTCTCTGTATGTGCATTTTTCTGGGAAGCAAGACTGTAACTTTTAAGAAACTTTCAAAAAAAAAATGAAAGAATCACTGAATAAAATCCTTAAACTCCCTTCCAGAATAAATGCTTTTAGGACCCTGGAATCCTACACAACAGACACAGTATATGATAATTTTAAGACATGGTGACATTAGAGATGCATATTATCGAAATAAACTACCAACTTGACTCAGCGATGAAATTTTTAGTTTCTTAAGATTTACCATCTAATACAATGAAGAGCCAGTATCCAAAACCGAGTTCAGACTGTCCAGGGAAGGTCATCACCTAACACTGGATCCCTAATGGCAGACTGCAGATTTTGGTATTCAGAGGCAGACGCTGATTGGATGTTGCCTGCCCTCTGAGAGGATATGGAAGAGAGTAGTCCATGGTTTGCACAAGAGGGGGGGAATGCGGCAAAAAGAAGCTTGGTTTGTAAGAGTGATAAACATGGAGTACTATGGGTTGTCCCGTATATTACGATGCTGAGTGTGACTTACTCAGGTCAAAAGAATACCCATATTGTGCTCTTGAATAGCTACCTCATCCTATGATTTCTCTGAGAGGGAAATAGGTACAGAGGTTACAGAAAAGCAAACATTAACATTGAGGATTCTCTTTGGCAATTAATGTTATCTATTATATAAGTATTATACCTTATATCACATAGATATTACACAATATTATATAATATTCATTACATATAATATGTATGTATTATTATGTACAGTATTAATATATACTGATTATATATAACTATATTATATATTATAAATATATGTATATTATATGTATAATATAAAATAAAGCCAAACAATACTTTCTGACTTGCTGGGGCTTCGGCCCAAACCCCAGTGCAAAACTCAGGTGGGCCAGGCTGAGCCTCTGCCCAGGCTGAGACATAGCGGCCGAGGCTAGATCAGCCTGACCGCCTAGAATCCAAGTTGGCTGAAATTTCCTCTTCTAATTATGTCCGTTTCCAGGCCCAGATTTGAGTCTTGGCCCTTCCTCCCTCACTGCAAGCAAACATCACAGCAGGACGGGCCAGCAGCCCCGAGGAAAGGGGCAAGAGGGGCTGAGCATGGGGCAGCACATTCTGGCGAGGGCGGTCCTAGGACTGAACTGTCGACAGGACCCTCTTCCTTCACTGTGTGGGAGCGAAAGGCAAATCAGGGAGAAGACAGACAGCTGCGTGTGGTGCCCCATGTAAGGCAGGTGTGGTGGGGGCTCTGCTGGCATCGGAGTGGGGAGGAGGGACAGGGCACTCATGGAGCCCAGGCTCGGAGCCATGGCCACATCAAAACCTTTGCACTTTCCTAAGTTTGGTTCTTGAGATAATCTTATTTCAGACACCAAATAACATTAAAACACATATTCACTTATTAAGTTAGTCCTTTTCCACTTCCCTTTCTAACTTTCTGATTAGGACAAGGAACGCACTCTAGTTTTGCATTAATATGTCTTAACTGCCACTTATAATTACATAATATAGCGATCACTTGTCAAACTCTTTTTTTTTTCCAAATGGAGTATAACCACACTATCTGACCAGACTTTAATGACACTGTTTTGTTTACATATATTTATATTTATGGTTACCTACTCTTTATGGTAAAAAATACTGGGTTTCCATTTATGGGGAGACAAAAACATCCTTTAAAAATAAACTTAAATTTGGGCGCCTGGGTGGTTCAGATGGTTAAGCGTCTGCCTTCAGCTCAGGTCATGATCCCAGGGTCCTGGGATCGAGTCCCGCATCAGGCTCCCTGCTCCTTGGGAGCCTGCTTCTCCCTTTCTCTCTCTCTCTCATGAATAAATAAATAAAATCTTTAAAAAAAATAAAAAAATAAACTTAAATTTGGGGCGCCTGAGTGGCTCAGCTGATTAAGTGTCCCACTGTTGACTTTGGCTAGGTTGTGACCTCAGGGTTGTGAGATCAAGCCCTGCCTCTGGCTCTGCGCTGGGTGTGGAGCCTGCTGAAGATCCTCTCTTTGCCCCTCTCCCCCCAACAAGCACATCAAAAACAAAACAAAACAACCCAACAAAACAAAACAAAAAAACAACAACAAAACTTAGTGAGTTGACCAAGAGCAAGCTATTAAGTAATTTTTTTACCTGTGTTTGGCAAAGATGATGAAGGTGACACAAATTGCTAAAGTTTGGAAAACATTATCTTAAACAGAAGTCTCCATCTACAACCTAAAACCTACGTTTCTGCATTCCCTGGAAGAGAAACTAACAGATTCCTATCTATAAAGACATGGAGAAGCCTTAGATTCATTCCTCCAGGCCTGTGTGTCAAGCTGAACCTTAAAGGTGAAGGGTTGGGGGGGTGCCTGGGTGGCTCATTGGGTTAAGCATCTGCCTTCCCAGGGTTCTGGGATCGAGCCCCACATCAGGCTCCCTGCTTAGCAGTGAGCCTGCTTTTCCCCCTCCATCTCCTCTGCCTGCCCCCCCTCCCCTGCTTGTGCTCTCTCTCTTGCTATCTCTCTCTCTGTGTCAAATACATAAATAAAATCTTTAAAAAAAAAAAGTGAAGGGTTAGGAATGGGGATTATTTCTGTGGGCTTTGGGACATTAATTAGGTATTTTAAAAAATTATTTACAGTATTTTGAGATTCTTGAATATCTTGTATCTTATATAATTATAATGATTATATATTAAAATGTTTTTAATTGAGATATAATTGACACATAACATTATTTTCAGGTATACAACATAGTGATTCTCTCTCTCTCTCTCTCTATACATATATATATATATATTTATGTATATGTATATAGTGGTATGATTACCACAATAAGTCTAGTTAACATCCATTGCTACACATAGTTACAAATCTTTTTCTTCTTGTGATAAGAACTTTTATGATTTACTATCTTAGCAACTTTCAAATATGTAATACAGTATTATTAACTATGGTCACCATGTTGTACATTATATCCCCAGGACTTAATTATTTTATAACTGAAGTTTGTACCTTTTGACCACCTTCATAATTATATCATAAGGTGAATTATTTTTATTTATGGTTTTAAAACATAACTATTTTTTTTGCACCAAATGCTCACCATGCTAAGTGTACTCACCATCACCAAAGTTATTACAATATTATTGACCATAAACCTGCTGTACTTTTCATACCCATGACTTATTTATTATATAACTGGAAGTATGATCTCTTAATCCCTTTCTCCTATTTGGCCTATCCCCAACTCCCCTTCTGCCAACCACCAGTTTGTTCTCTGTATTTATGAGTCTATTTCTTTTTTGTTTGTTCACGTTTTGTTTTTTAGATTCTACATATAAGTGAAATCATATGGTATTTGTCTGATTTATTTCATTTGGCAAGATAGCCTCTAGGTCCAGCTCTGTTGTTATGAATGGCAAGACTTCATTCTTTTTTATGGCTAATATTCCAGTGTGTGTGTGTGTGTGTGTGTGTGTGTATGTATCACATCTTCTTTATCCATTCATCTATCTGTGGACACTTGCATTGCTTTCATATCTTGGCTATTGTGAATAATGCTACAATAAATGTAGGGTTGTATATTTCTTTTTGAATTAGAGTCTTTCTTCATTTTCTTTGGGTAAATACTCATCAGTAGAATTTCTGGATTGTACAGAATTCCTATTCTTAATGTTCTGAGGAAACCTCCATACTGTTTTCCAGAGTGGTTGCACCAGTTTGCATTCCCACCAACAGTGCAGGAGGGTTCCCTTTACCCCACGTCCTCACCAACACTCGTTATTTCTTGTCTTTTTGATAACAGCCATTCTGACAGGGGTGAGGTGATATCTCATTGTGCTTTAGATTTGCATTTGTCTCATGATTAGTGATGCTGAGCATCTTTTCATGTGTTGATGAAGCATAACTATTTACCTTTGGCTTCCCTGAGGGAGACGATCCCAGGTAAACTGGTGCTCTGAGGCTGATGGTGGAATTTCCAGGCAAACTTCCCTCCTGGGCCCTCAGACCATCCACAACCAAGTGCCCCTTCTCTCCATCTTGCCCAAACACCACCTTAAGAGTAAAAAAAATATATTAATCATGTTTTACCTCTGACAATTGGTGATGTATTTTATTACTGGTCACAGGACATTTTTTAAAACAATGTTTTTCTGTTTCTTCAAGGAGCTTTAAAAAATCAGAAATTTTTCTCCCTAGTATTATCATCATCATCACCATTTTGTGAGATTATGTTAGATACTAAACAGAGTAAGCTAGAAAAGTGAGCTTTATAAGAAGGATTCCTTAGTGTGCCTGGGTGGCTCAGTCGGTTGAGCGTCGGACTGTGGGTTTCGGCTCAGGTCATGATCTCAGGGTCCTGGGATCGAGCCCCACTTTGGGCTCCATGCTCAGTGCGGAGTCTGCTTGTCCCTTTCCCTCCCCCTCTCCTCCTTCCCCCCTCATGTTCTCTCTCTTATAAATGGATAAAACCTTAAAAAAATAAAAAATAAAAGTCCTTCGGCAGGGCTCCTGGAGCAAGGAGCCATGGCTACTTCTTTACTAACAAGGGAGGACACATTTTCACCGCTTTGCTAAAAGGCAAGATCCCTGGGCTCTAGGGTGGACTCCGCCATCTCACGGCTATGAGACTGTTCACTAATGCCTCCCCAACTTATATTGCCAGCTGTGACCTCTGGCCTTTACTATCTAGAATGGTGGGCTTGAATGTCTGACAGGCCACTCCACCCTAGGAGGTTCACAGCAGAACCCTGGCTCTTCCCCAGCTCTAAATTGCTCCTTCCCTGGCCACACGCCCCTTCTCCTCATTTTCTGCGTCTCAGTAGCAGTCCCTCTGGCGTCCCGATGGCTGGTCCCAAACCACAGGACTTGATACGGACCCCTCTTTCTCTCACTCTCTACATGTGACCCCTCAGCGAGCCCTCTCAGTTTTCGGAGCACATGCTAGACAGTTTACTTCTGTCCATGTTCCCCACCGCCTCTTGAGGCGAAGGCAGCGGCATCCACCTGGCCGCTCTTACCCCCATTTCATCTCTTCAGCTAAAGACAGCTTTGAAAATATCCATCTGTTCATGCAATGCTCCTTATTTAGTTGAAGATTCTTCCGAAGCTTCAGAGACACTCAGAATAAAATCCGAGTCCTCACCTTGGCTTCAATGCTCCCATGATCTGGGCCCTGCCTGCCCCTTGAATCCCAGCTCTTCTCCTTTCTTATACTGTATCTCTTGCAATCTGGGATGCCTTCAGGCAAGATCTGGAAAGCTAGGGATGTGGGTCTTTAATTAAGCTTGTGTTATGCAGAAGGCATTCCCGGCTCAGAGAGGGACCCCGGAGACCTGGACAGTGTCTTGACCGGGAGAAATGGTCCAGGCAGCGGGGGTGGGAGGGGAAGGGGACAGAGCCCAGGGAGGCATGGCGGGGGCTGAAGAAGCAGTGAATAGAGCCCATCTTGGCACCGAGACATCACGCCCGACCTCCTTGCCCGGTGTGCGGAGCAATCTCCGCTGCCAAAGCGCTGGGGTGCTCGGTGCCTCTGAGCACACAAGCTCGGCCAGTGGTGGGCTCCGTGGCAGGCAGGAGGCTGCGACCCCTCTCCAGGTTAGTCCGGGGGGACTCTGCGGCAGTGGCGGCTTCTCACGCAGCCCCGGCTCTCACCGTGTGCCACTGCCCGTCGTTGCACTTCTCTTTGCTTTTGAGTCTCAGCTTCTTCCCTCCTGCCCCCAAGGCAAAGACGAGCCGTCCCTTGGAGAGATACAGCGCCATGTAGGAGTTCTGAGAGCCCGAGTAGAACACAAGGCCTCTGGAGGAAGCCGTCCGCACGTCCACAGCAAACCGTGACCTGTCAGGAAAAGAAAGCAACAGGCAAAGAAGGAAAATAGAGGTTTTTAGTGTTTTTAGTGTTTTTCTGAGTCCCTGAAGCCGGAAGAGAGGGTGAGGCGCAGACACCCCAACCCCCGTCATTCAAATGAATAAACTAAGGCATGTACTGATTAAATGACCCATCTCTTTGGGAATTTTTAAAAGCTATTAGAGTCCAGCTATTAAAAGTTGTGCATATGATTTTCTTACACTGTTGGGGAATAATGAGGAAGCTCTACGGCAAACCTAGCTGCTGGTATAAGGGCTGGCACATGGCACGAAAAAAGGTGCCTTACTGTTTAAAAAACATCCACATTTTAAAAAATCATGGCAAAGTATATACATAACATAAATTTTGCCATTTTAACCCTTTAAAAGTGTATAGTAGGGTTGAGTACACTCACATTGCTGTGCATCCAGTCTCCAGAACTCTTTCCACCTTGCAAAACAGAAATTCTGTACGCATCAAACAACACCTCTGCATTCCCTGTGCCCCAGCCCCCCCCCCGTGTCCACCATTTTCCTTCCTGTCTCTCTGAATTTGATTACTCTAGGTCCCGCATATAAGTGCAGTTATATAGTATTCGCCTGTCCATGACTAATGGCTTGTTTCACTTAGCAGCCTGTATCTTTTTAACCCAGTGAATATGCATTCTATTTTGTACACACGCAAGGAGAGGAAAGTTGCAAGGGGAAGTGTGTGCGGGCGGGGTGCGAATGGAATAACAAGGATTTGATTTAAGCAACAGGTAAGCATTTTCTTTCTGCAAGACATAGGCAGAGGCAGAAAAGTACAGATCTACCTTCTCCCACCCGCTTTTATGTTTCTTGGACCTTAACTAAGACCCCACTGATGATGGAACAGGAATTAAGCGAGCACCATGCAGGGAAAGAAGAAAAGGAAAGTTAATACTCCTTTGCATGGTGGTTACATATCATATGCACATCTGGCTGAACAAGATTTACTTTGCATGAGAATTTACATTCACTCCTTTACCCACCCACCCGTGCATCCAACAAATATTTAATGAGTGTGTAGCATGCGTAAGGCACTGTGGTGAGCCCTGGGAATGCAGCGATGGGTGTTTCACTCTCGAGCTGTTTCTGGTGCACACGTGCACTGACAAGGATCCCTAAAAGGACAGCGTGCAAAGGTGGTGGGGGGTCCAGGTATCAGCAGGCTGTCATCACCCCCTCCTTGGGTGACAGAGGCAGAACCTAGGTCTCTCCTGTTTAAAGCTGCATCCCCAGGGGGTGCCTCATACACAGCAGGCACTCGACAAATAGTTGAGTTGAATTAAGTAGTTAATTGAATAGTTGAATTAAATGGTAAATGGAAAACTTGGAGGCAGAATCAGGAAATGAAAGAGAAAATGGCACTGTTACTTCTCTTTGCTTTTTAATATCGTGAGGCTGAGCAAACACCGAGAAAGTTGAATCTTTTAGATTAGGGAGTTTCCTTGAGGGTGATGTTCTTCAAAACAAAAGGGAAATCTATATATGTTAAATTAAACCAACCAGATGGTGACACCGCTCAATATTTCTCTTGGTGTAGCTGTGTGCGGAGGTTTGGAGAATGAGGGTTAGCCAATTTAAGGAGGATATTCGAACTTGCTACAGAATTAAAGTACTTTACATATGTGGGCTTGGTTATCAGGCTTGACATTTGCTTTCCAGAGTTATTTCTTAAAGCAGCTTTCTTTCATAAAAGGCTAACTGACTAACACCCAAAAAAGACGCCAGTAGATTCAAATCCCAGCATATGATACAGCAGCTCAGACTCTTCATTGCTGCTGGATGGGAGAATAAGGCAGAGAGTGAAGTGGCATTTTTATACATTCACCAAAACGATAAAATAGTGGTGCAGCATTTTAAAGGAGAGGCAACAAATTGCTAGAATATAAATTAGAATGAGAACAACGGAATAGCCCATATTCTGGACTTGCCTCATCCTGAAAATATACTCTTGATGGCTACAGTATTTGAGACTTCAATAATTTAAAAATTATATCGACTAGTGATTGCTTTTTACCACTTCCCCGTTAAAACGTTCCTTTTCCCATTTATTATGTATACATTAGTGCTGCAAGGGAAGGTGCTGGGGTTGAATCATCAGAAGAAGCCAGAGAACTCACCATACTGAGTGTGCTCTGAGAGGAGATGCAAGACAGGAAGGGGCTTTGCAGGGTGGGGGGAGGGCAGCGCTGGTGGGGGAGCGCCAGAGCCCAGGCAGGAGGGCGGGGAGGCTGGGCAGCATCTGCACAGAGACTTGATCTTGACCAAGAGCACGGTGATGGGGAGTGGGCCTTCCTCCCGAGAGGTAGCCCCAGGAAGGGCAAATAACTGAGGGGGACCTCACTTCTCAGTCTCCGTTGGCAAATCAGGGATCCCCAGCCTTTCTGTGGCGCAAATGGAGATGGGGGGCTGCTGGCATAGGGTTCTCCTTCTGAACGCCACCCTTCCCTTTTCCTGCCTTCACATCTGCCTGTGAATCGTGCACTTGGCTCATTGAGTGGGCCTCCCAGGGCCAGCTCCTTGCAAGCTACTGCATCCCTCCCCCTGCAGGGAAAGCATTATCAGCTCCATTTAACTGATGAGAAAACTGAGGTTCAAAGAGATGTAGCAACTTGTGAAAACACTGATGATGCCAAGTTCATAGAGAGAAAGCTGAGGCTTAAAAAAGTTAAACAACAGCCTGTGGTATCCATCGACTTGCTACTCCAAACCCCTTTTGAGTGAACTGGCTGCAGGGACACCATGGGTGGCAGCCCCCAGCCCCCGTGCCCTCAGATCTGCAATGGCATATGGGTGACTCCCAGCCAAGGACTGAGCTCAACAGCAAAACTAGAGCCAGGCCATTGATGCCCAACACTGGACTCTTCTAAGGGGTGACCTTTGCTTGCGGCGGCCCCATCATTCACAGGTGCTGGGCCCCTGTCTCCACGGAAGGCTCTTCCCACCAGCCCCTGCTGCCTCCACCTTTATCTCCCACAGGAACAACACATCTCTTGCAACATCTAATCCTATCTTCACGTCTGCATCCCAGAAGACCGATCTGGCAAATGGCCTGAGGTCACAGAGCCAGCAAGTGGCTGAGTGAGGATTGAAAGCTTGGTCTTAAAGCCAGGCCATTCTGACCCTGGGAAATTCTGCTTCTGTACATAAATCATAAAGGAATTTTGGCACCTTGTTATTTATGTCTCCAAATCACATGAAAATGACAAGCCTTGTTTTCCTACCTTTTTTCTGACATAATTAATATCTCTGTTCACTCCCTCCTCCCCAGAAGAGAGGCAACTTGTTAGCACAAGAAGTCCAAAAGTGCTCTCTAAAAATGATCTATCTGGCACTGAGTCTACTTACAAGAATTATTTTTCTCTGACTATAGAATGTAGAGAAGAAAGGTGATTTATCATAGAAATAAATAGCAGCTTTGAAAGGAAGTATCAGTCGTATTTTTAGAACGCCGTCAATTCTCCACCAGAGCCCAGCGGATTGTTTCAGCCTCTGAGCAGCGCACGTGTGCCTTCCGGCAGCGGGGACGGAGCACGCTTGGGGCAGTCACGCACCATGTCCTGTGCAGGCCAGCACCTCTCTCCACAAAAGTGGTGTTGCCACTTCATTAGTGACAGGTGTGTGGTGTCCTGCCGGCTGGCCTGCTCTGGGATACAATTGTGGAGTCAGGTTCTGAGTCGGTGTGGGGGCAGGAATATTCAAAATACCTGGGTTTCACCAACTCCTGGGGAATCGTGAATAGCAAGTGGCTGGTGGGCCTGTCCCCAAACCTGAGGGCTCCATGACTGGCCTGGGCCCGGGGAGGTGGTAGGCAAGACTGAGCCTCTCGCCACATGTCCATGCTCCGTGGAAAGGCCACTGGCGTGTCCTGCAATGGCTGCAAGGCAGAGAAGCACAAACTTAGGACAGCTCATTATCAGAGAAAAGAGTAAAGAATACTTATCTTGCTAAGAGCCTTGCTCAGTTTTTACTTCGATCCTAGGAGATTAATTCAATAGAGATGAATTCATCCTTGGGGAGGATGCATGTTCTTCCCATCTGACACAAGTCTGGTCTCTTTCCTGACAGCTGCCGCACCTGGGATCAGTGGGTACCCAGAGCCCCTCCCCACCATGGAGCTGTGGAATAATCATAGTGTCTCTTGGGAGAGCCAGCATTGGGCCCGCAGCCTGAGCCTGCACAGCCAGTCCCCAGGCCACGCAGCCGCCAACACGCCACCTCTCCTGGAGCCATTCACTCGGGTTTCTGCAGCAGGGCAGTGCAAAAACAGACAGCAGGAACCAGAAGGGGTGTGTGCGGCAGGGCGGGTATGTGTGTGTGTTGGAGGGGAACCCCGGCCTGTCTCCACTTTAATTAGAATTGATCCATACACAGAAGTGTGTCCTGAGCTTAGACGATGTGTTGAACTTTTGAACAGAACAAAGTTTTAATGCTGAAAAACAACTGTGATAAATATCAAGTAGGACTAGCAAAATTGTTGTTAGAAACTGAGACTCTCCAGCCATTCCTCCCTTTTTCTTGGCTAGGAAGAACCCAGATTTTGATCCCATGTCCACAACTCCCACAAGACCAGAGCTCAGCTGGGATCTCTATTTGTCGAAGGGACGAGCAGGGATTCACTGTGCCAGGGATTGGATGAGAGAGGAACATGTGACCTCCCTCTTGGCCAATGAACCTGGAGGGGACATGGTGGTGGAGCGGGGGGGCCTCTGAGAAATAATATCTTTACTAATAAAGCCGAGCTGATCCGTGGCTCTGGTGCTGGGCATTGTCCCGTCAGTATATGAAGCTCCAAACTACGCAGGGTGGAGCTGAGGTGAGCTGAGACCAGCCAGGCCTTAAGCCTACCTGTCCTCAAGCTGTCTGTTATGTGACTTTATAGATCCTCTTATTGTTTAAGTCATTTTACACTTGGAGCTAATAGCTAAAGGATCCCCAACAGATTTAAATTCCTTCAAGATCAGGTTTTCCTCCCAGGCCCAATTCCTGGACAGGGTGCTCAGAATGGAAACCTGATACCAGTTATTTAAAACATTCTGTGCTTACACATTGCTGAGTGGAGATGAGCAATCATGGCCACCAGAAAGTTAGATGAATTGCTTAAAACCACTTCAAATCCAGTCAAACCTGGAGGCTAGTGGAGCTTCCTGCCTGGGGCTCGCAAGAGTGGGTCCTCACTCCCTCCCTGAAAGATTCTTCTTTGTGTATCAAGAGCAGTAACATCAAGATGAGCAGATTTCATAAATAACTTTTGTCACCACCTCTTCCTTCTCATAATGGCCCCCACGTGTTCTGGAGCATCCAGGCCCTACATCCTGGCCACGGTGGACACCCACCTACCTCCCTTGCCTCTTCCCCGAGTTTAGCTTCCATGTCCTCCTTTATCTCTGTGACACGATTGCCACTCCTTCCTTTTCAGCCCTAGTCCCACTGCCCTGAAAGGCTCTGACTCTCTTGCCTGGACTTTGTAGTACTTCGCCAGCTTGACTCCTTGTCTCTAGAACTTTCCCTCACCAAACCATCCCACAGGCTCCTGCCAGTTTATTTAAACATGGCTTAAAGCAGGCCTTTCAATGGCTTCGTGCTGCCTATAGAAAAATGTCAAAATTATGTCAGGCCATCCTCTGCCTGATGTGGCTCAAACGTGGAATTCTGAGTTGACCTTGTCACTCCCCACCCTTTCTCCACTCAATTTCCCCTGTTCACCAAGCTTTCCAAGCCAAAGAAGCCACAGGACGTAGTCTGAAGAGAACATTTGAGATCTACAGCCCTAAGTCTGAATTCTGAGTCTACCATTTACTGACTGGGTGCTCTTGGGCTAGTTGGTTTTGTTTTTTTTGTTTTTGTTTTTGTTTTAGCCTCCCTGAGACTCAGTTCCCTACCTATAGAGTTGGTAGTTTATTCTGCTCTCAGAGGGGTGTGGTGAGAACTGAAAGAGAGAGAGACTGCAAACTACTGAAGATCAGAGAGAATGCATGGAATGGGTCTTGTACCTGAGGTGCACCCACATCCCGCCTCTGGGCTTTGGGCTTCTGCTCACGTAGCAGCGACACTCACTTGTCTAAATCCAACCCATCCTCCAGGCCCAGCTCGTGTGTCACCTCCTGATCTCTGGGGCAGGAAAACTCCTGCCACCCCAGGCCTGTTGCATGTTTCGTGCCTTTCACTTAGGTTATTAGGGTATATAATGATCACAGCTATGCTTACCATGTGCCAGGCACTTTGCTACGTGTTTTGTGTTTATTACCTCATTTAACTCTCACACCACCACTACAAGATATTACTTTATATATCCTCATTATGTTGCAGGAAATAGACCCACAGAGACGTTATATAATCACTCAAGGTCACACACCTAGTAAGCCTGATGCAAACCCAGTAAGTCTTACCCCAAAGTCTAGTCCTTAACCACAAAGCTTTGTGGCTTGTTTGCTTTCTTTCTGTCAGTGAGCTTTTGGAGGCAGAATTAATGTCTTATTCTACCTAATCTGGGGGCTTGCACAGAACAGGGGCACAATTAAATACAGTGTGTTCATGGCGGCTCCCACAGGGATAACTCTAGCCCCTGCGCCCGCCATCCGCCAAGGCCCACTCAGTGACATCTGACAGGCCCCCGCCAGCTTTCTCCCTGTAGATGTCCTGCGGGCACCTGTCACTCAATATAAAACACACTCCACTCAGTCTCTTCCTCTAAATACTTGTCCTTCTCCTATCTCCATGAACGGCACCTCCATCCATCCAATAACCTGGACCAGATGCTTCGGAATTGTATTAACTCCTGCCTCTCCCTTACACCCACCGTCAATCATTATCTGGGTCCCGTACATTCTATCTTCTAAATAGCTTTGAATCCATTTCCTTCTCTCCATCTCTACCATCGCTGTGTTAATTTAGTCTCTCCGTAACTTTCAGCCTTCTGATGAAAAAAGTGAATTCATGTGATTTCATTCCTGATGGAGCCATCCTAAAGATGTTCTCCTAACAGTAAAATGACTACCCTCTATGAACTATACTTCTTCTTAATAGCATAGAACGTTTCTGATTATGTGCTATCTATTCAACTCCTCCAAATCACTGTGCCGCAGGGAAAATATTGGCAGGCAAGTGGCATGGGGTTGATGGTGAGCGAAAAGTGTGCTGAACAGAAGTGCGTTGCTTTTAAGAGGCACAGGCTGTGGGAGGAGGCTGTCGGGTTTTGAATTCCAACTCCACCTTCTATCTGTGGGAGCTTGGGCCAATTGCTGACCTTTCTACACTGCAGCATCTTGTTCTGGAACATGTGGCTGGTCATATACTCACTTGCTACTATTACTTTAGTATGGTGACATGAAAGTACAGAAGGATAGTAATACTACTTCCTTCACAAGGTTACTTGCAGATTTAGTAAGAAAAGCCACTTGGCCAGCACATAGGTAGGTGCTCAGCCTTACCCATTAATCGTTTTAATTGTAACCTCCAGATATGGGGAGGTCAGACTGTTGACCTCGGGCACAGCAAGGAATTCTTTTAAGTCCTAACCCTGTGTCCAATTCATTACGATGCTTGTGCTCCTTCAAATCAGAAACTGTTCTTCCTTTCAGCCTCTCTTAGTGCTGCACATTAGGATCCCCTGGAAGCTTTATAAACTCCTGCCGCTTGGACCCACTGCAAGAGCATCTGACCTAATTGGGTGGGATGCAACCCGAGCATTAGGCTTTTAAAAGCTCCCCAGCTGTTTCTAATGTGCAGTCAAGGTCAAACCGCACTGGTCTTGGCAAGGCCTGGGTACGTGCATGCGTGCTGTCATAAGGGGCAGGGTGGAGGGGTGTCTGTGGGCAGGGGAAGGGGCATGATTCCTGTATTCTAGAGAAACTCATTGTGCCTGTTGGAGACACAACAGAAGTGTCAAAAGAGCAAGACATCATCTATAGGACTTGAGAAACCTAGGATTTAATTTGTTCTGCCTGCAAAAATTGCTAAATTTTCACCAAGATACAAAGTAAAAGATTTTTTACTTTTGGTATAATGCAACTGTTGCTGACCCATCGATCCCACTTCCTGGAGGCACCGACCACCAAGAGATCAGGCGATCTACACCCCTCCCTCCACTCCCACCCCTTCCCCAACATCTCACATGAAGTAGGATTCACTTCTGAGAATCCCCAAGGGAGAAGCAAAAGCCAGTGTTGGGTACACTTACCTGATTGATATTCAAAGTGTGGGATTTGTTAAACCTCATAGAACCTCTGAGCAACAGGAGGAAAGGTGGTGGGTTTAAACTGCAGCCTCCCAGGGACACATCTCTCTTGAAAGTTTTACTGGCCAAGTCCAGGACCGCAGGGCTCCCTGATTGCCTGGAAGGAGGGTGAAGAGGCAAACCACTGTCCAACTCTGAAATCTCAAGGAAGATGCACTGGCAGAGAGAGCTTCAAAACTATGCATTCTTACTGTCAGGCTTTAGGTGAACTTTCATCTCCTACCTGCACATTATATCTAGAGGAGACACCAGGCTCAGAGGGGAGGATGGGCTGTGACCCACTTCTGCATTCCCTATAATACCCAGCACCATGCCTTGCCGGCAGGAAGGCTCAAAAAATTTCATTGACTTGAATGGTTAGGGCTGGGGCAAAGCCAGAGTATGATAGTGGTCTCTTTGGAACAGGTGTCATTTAGAAATGTGAAAATGAACTATGCAGAGAGGAGAAAAGTGGGCACTGATGACCTAGAATGATGGTGAACACCAGGAAACCTTAGAGGTGAGTTTGCAGAAGGGTTGATCTTGCTGCATTTGAGCAGGAGAGTCTCACAGATAAATAATCTGCTTATCTCATGATTGTTGTCTGAGCCTTGATGGACAGCAGGAGCCCCCAAGCTCCCCATAGGTTGCCGAGGTTCCTGACCAGTCCTGGGCCCTCCTTCTGCCTTGGGGAGGGTTTTGGCTTTTATCTAAAAAGCGATCATTTTGAATCAAAAGGAAAGAACATCTAAACATTTGTGTGCAAGGACCAGGCTCCTCTCTCTATGAAAAGTCCCGGTCGGGTTCGACACGGTGGTGATTTGGCTTCCCAGCAGTGCCGGCCCATGCAAGTCCCCAGCCCCCCAAAACAGGGGAGCACTGATGAAATCAAATTGCATGACCTTGATTAAAATGAAGTAAAATTTCAGTATGGAAAATCTTCAGGGCCATAATCTGAAAGTTAACTTTCACTAGACCTTTCCCAAGGTTATGTGCCAAAGCTGCTCCTACAAAGGGAGGCCGGGCCCAGGTGAGGTGTTCCTGGGAGATGGTTTGTTTCTAATGTGTGTATCTTGTCTAAGAAGTTGTTTGAAAGTTGGTGGAATGAGAGCCTCAGGCAGCACGTGCTGACAAATCCAACTCCACTACCAGAGCAAGGGGCTGCCCTCCCTGAGGCAGACCACGCTCATCAGCCGCACCCCCGCAACAGGGCACGCACCTCCGGATGAAGACGTTGCTGATGCAACCCTCAAAGTGACTCCCGCCCAGATACAGGGGATGCTGGGAACCCGACAAGTCCTGTAGCCTTTGGTTACTTTTCAGAGTCTGGTCATCAATGAGAAGCCGGAGGCTGGACGAAGAGGAAGGCAAAACAAGAGTGAGAACGGCAGAGAAGAAAAGTTTCTCACCACGTGGCCCACTGAGGCTCTTCTATTCGGACTCCACATCTTTAACCTAAAGGAAATTGTTAAACTAGATTTATTTTTAAAGAGCATTTAAATTTTTAAAAAAATTTTTGCATGTATTTCTTTATTATATTTTTATTAAAGCAGTCTATATGTACAGAAAGTGAACATATCCTGTGTGCTCAGTGAATTTTTTGCAGTGTGAATACACCAACGACACCAGCACCCAGCCACAGAAGCAGAACTGACCAGCACCCAGGAACCCTGCCTTGTGCCCCCTTTTCCCTGTCTGAGGGTATAACCCCCGAGCCCTGAATCTGACAGAAGAAATTAATTTTGCCTGTTTTTGAATTTTATATAAATGAAATCATAGGAGATGAATTCTTTTATGCGTGACCTCTTTCACTCAGCAGGACGCTGTGAGGTTCATCCATGGCATTCTATACGGTTGTAGATCTTTTGTGCTCATTACTCCGGTTTCATTCCCACATTTTGAATAAACCACAGTTGGTTTATCCATCCACCTTTTGGCTGATTGATTTTTTTATTATTTTTTTTTAATGAGGACATTGATACAGAACCAGGAAGAAGGCTAAGACTTACTAGTAAAATAGCGTTAGCATCAAGGACACATACTTCACAAAAAAATACTAGAAAATTCCATTAAGCTAAATAAAAGTCTTAGAGCTCTGGCGAAAGTGCTGTCGTACTCACCCAGAGTTGTCACTTATGACAGATACATAATGCAGTGAACCATCCGTGTACGTCTGCGGAGATCTAAAAATCGGGCTGTTGCTATCCCTGGTGTTCAGTTCAATGTGACCATCTTCCAGGGAGACCTGCAGGTTCCGTGTCTGAAACCACCACAGAACATACCCATCAATGTCATTAACTTCCAATGAAAGATTATGACGGTGTCAATACCGAAGTTATGATCAACACTACAGATAAGACAGGATGTTTTGGCCCAAATGTTTTGACTTCACTATTTCAATCTAAAGATTATTTTTGAATATTCTGACCTGTGTTTATGAATATAAAAGTCTTATGCAAAGTATTTTAACACTTGAATCTGTCAAAGGCATCTTATGGATCTACATCCATAAACCAAATTTTTTTAAAGATTTTATTTATTTGACAGAGAGAGAGAGAGAGAGAGCACAAGCAGGAGGAAGGGCAGAGAGAGGGAGAAGCAGACTCCCTGCTGAGCAGGCAGCCCCATGTAGGGCTCCATCCCAGGACCCTGAGATCATGACCTGAGCTGAAGGCAGATGCCTAACCGACTGAGCCACGCAGGCACCTCCCCTTTTTTTCTTTTTTTTCCCCATAAACCAATTTAACTTCTCCATCAATGATACGCCAATCTGTTGAAGTTATTTTCATCAGGATCAATTCTTTTCTGAATCAATTTTGTGATGAAGACTTGATTCATCCATTTTTTAAAATATATGATTATAGCAATGATATCTTCTCTTTAGTCATTATGAATTTTTTATTTTCTGGTCATAATTCCTAGGAAGTTCAATTTTCTGATGTCAAACTCTGCAGATCTAAATTTTGGCATGATGATTCAGTTCTGTTATTTCTTAATAAAAAAATGTGTGTAGTTTTTGCAGTTGTCATTTTAATTTTGCTGATTTTTTTTCTACCAAGTACAATTTTTGCAATTTTCAACAAGATGTGATCATTCAGTGAGCTTTTAGTCTAAAACAACTTTTATATGGCTGCCTGGGTGGCTCAGTCGGTTAAGTGGCTGACTTGATTTTGGCTCAGGTCATGATCTCAGGGTCCTGGGATCGAGCCCCACGTTGGGCTCTGCACTCAGAGGGAGTCTGCTTGGGGATTCTCTCTCTCTTCTTCTGCCTCTGCTCCTCCCCCACTCATGCTCCCTCTCTCTCAAATAAATAAATCTTTAAAAAAACTAAATAAAACTATTTTTACAGTGTGTGGTTGTAGCCACTGTCAGTTTTATTTTGATTTTTTTCAGTTGGCAATATTCATTATGAGTTGGGTAAAGGAATGCCAATTTATATGTATGACTTAGCTAACCCATTATGAAGTTGAGGGCAGTGTTCCTGGGGTATTTCTAGGATCCCTCCATTGTCTAGGAGTGATCCCCTCTTTTGCTCAGTCAACTCTTCTGCCATTTTTTAATCACTCTGTATATTGTGTACTCTGTGTCCCTACCCTTGGCAGGGGAAACAAGCACTGGGTGTCAAAAGAACTAGGTCGAAACATCCTACTTTGATAGAAAAGGCACTCTTGTAGCCAAATGCTGGCACATGTTTCTTCAGGGGGTAGTTTAAAAAAAAAAAAGATCTCTAAAGGCTGATGAGGAAATATATAATCAAGAGAGACAAGGCCTTCTAGTATGACATTGCCACAGACTCAGCTACTGTTCTTTCTTTCAACAAATACTAAATGTCTGTTGTGCTGGCAATCCTAAAGAAACAAATCCAAGAATGTCAGTATTCTACTTCTACTTCTATGTTAAAATCCCCCTCATTCTACAAGGGGATTTCTAAATATTCGTTGACCTCTATACCTATATAACCACACAAATGAAATCCTATGAAGCTATAAAGGGTACTTTGTCGCTCTGTTGTACATGAACAAAGAGCCAAGGACCCTATTTCCTCTCATTCCCCAGATGTAAATATTGTCCAACCAGCTACTGCTGCAAAAAAGGAATCTGAAGAGCTATCTTTTGTGGAATCAAAAAGGAATAGTGGGGACACATTCGGATTTTTTTCTTAGATCTAAAACTTTAGGCTACATTATTACTTATAACAGTTATAATTCACCTTAACTCGTGAAATAAACCCAAGAAGAATGAAAATAAGTCCATGAATACATATGAATTCAACTCTGTAAACTCTAATGTACTTTCTTAGCCTTCTTTCTTTTAGGACTTGCTTGCCCCAGGATGAAGAGTAACCTCCACGGCTGAAATACGCAATGTCATTTACCGTGTGATGATGGATAAAATGCCCAACTGGTTTACCATCAAAATCTCTATTGTTTTTGACATCAAACTTTGATTCAGGTTTAAGTCTTGTTCAGTATTCATGCAATATTTCATACCTGTGCCTGGAGATTAAATAACATGCCACCCGGCTGAAAGGTCTGAAACCCAAAGGAGGCCTGGAATTCGTTGGGCAAAGGGAGGTCCAAATTGGTGAACCTCAATTGTCCACCCCTGGAGAATGAGGCAGATCGCACGAGCTGAAATGCAAACGTGGAATAAATTACTGGCACTGGAATGATTTGATGGCTGAAATCCAGGATCTTATCCTGTATCGCTTCACCTGAGCTGATTAATGTGGTTTCTGTTGCCTCAGGAAGAAACTGTTTTTCTGCATGAGTTTTTGTGTGTAGAGTTGGTATTTCTTTCTTCTTACAAATGTAATATGCAAACCTGAAGGGGTTGTGTGTCTTGCAAATATGTGGGAAGTGGAAATGAACCAGTTCGTGCAAATATGTGGGAAGGAGAAATGAACCAGTTCGCCATAATACTGTGTGCTACCAGAAAAACTCTAGAGCTGGTCTATAAATGACTATAAGATAGGTTGGCTGGGGAACAGCACTGCTCTGGAAGGTTTTGAATTCTTACCTTCCAGTCTTCTGAGCATTTTTTTGTGACTCCCACAGTATCATTCAACCTAACAACACCGCTGGTTTTCTTCAGGTTTTTCATGCAGCCTCGGAAACCAGGTGTAGAAATGTTAAACCTGATTTGGGGTACAAAAAAGGAAGAGATGTACCAGACCCGGCTTGTCTGAGAACTGGAGCTGAAAACTCTGCACTGTCTGGTTCTTCTCACCCATAAACGAGTATGTATTTTATGGGTATCTGTTCTCATGGGATTTCTATAACTCTATTTTGTGAAGCTGAGAAAATCGACTTCCTTTCTCTGTGATTCAGCATTCTCAGCTTTAAAAATGAACATAATAGTGTTGACAGAAGAATGGCCAGTGACAAAAAGTACAGCGACAGAAAATGTACGATATCCAGAATTGCTCCCCACCCTCCTTCCAGAGTCATGGTAGTACGTGGTGAATAGGAAGTGTATTAACAAATTAATATACCATAAATATTATATCAATACATATTAATAAGTACATTATTTATTAGAGCCAAGAATGCCCTAGAAAACACTTTGCTTTTTCTCCTGTCCACTTTTAAGTTAGTTACTGTTAACTCAGTAGAAACAATCAGTTGCTTTCTGGTTCTAGTCAGCGATGAAAAATGTGGCTTGGTATTTAATCAATGCCAGGCTGGAACAATGGAAAGCACTGTGAGGATTAAACAAGTTAATGCACAGGAATTGCTTGGTACCATGTGTGGCCTGCAATCGTGACCACTCAGGAGCTGTTTCTTTCTTTTCTTTTCTTTTCTTTTTTAAGATTTTATTGATTTATTTGATAGAGAGAGACAGCGAGAGGGATCACAAGCAGGGGGAATGGGAGAGGGAGAAGCAGGCTTCCTTCCCGTCGAGCAGGGAGCCCGCCGATGCGGGGCTCGATCCCAGGACCCTGGGATCCTGACCTGAGCTGAAGGCAGATGCTTAACGACTGAGCCACCCAGGCGCCCCCTCAGGAGCTATTTCTGAGAGCTGAGGGCTCTGCACCCACATTGCCAGGGTTCAAGCCGTATCCCTGCTGCTTGAGCAAGCGACATAACTATTCTGTGACTCTGTTTCCTCCTTTCTACAACGGGAATGTGTTAATCTGTTTTATGGGGTTGTCACGAATTTAAATGAGTTAGCATGTGCGACGCACTCACATGGTGCCTGTAACAGAGTGAGGACTCCATGTGAGGTGGTGGGGTTAGTAACTCTCCCATGATGAGGAGAGTCCTGATAATGAGAGCAATTTCTTTCTACAGCAGCTCTGCCTTCGTGGCTACCTTGGCATTCCGCCCCTACCCTTTCTTCTTCTTCTTCTTCTTCTTCTTTTTTTTTTTCTTCTTGGCCTTTCCCCTTTGATTTGACTTTTGGGTCTGTCTGGAGCTGACTTCCCATAAAACATTAACACAGATGAACTGACTGGAGTCCAGGCAAATATTTGTGTTTCTTAAACAAGTGATATACGAAGGAAAACACAAAGCTGATTTCCTTACAAATCCCTAAGGCGGCTCACCTTTCTAAATGGAAAGGTATCTGCATCCATTTTTATTCAAATCATTATAAATAGTTGAGCTACAGGTAATGCGCATGAAATTAAATTTCATTAGAAGGAAAAGGAAGAAATGAATCCTCACTGGCATGGCAGCTTGAGCTTAATTATTTTATAAAGATGGCTTTTTGCCTCAGAAAAGAAGGAAAGTTCGTATTAATTCCTGGCACTTGTCTGTTTACACATATTTTAAAATCCATTCTCTCTTGGGTTTCCGCATGGTTCGGACCCATTGCCATCCCCTGATGTCCTTCTTTCCATATAGGCTAGGTCAAAGTTAAAAGAAAAGCAGAGGGGGAGGAAAGGCATTAGGCAGATAGATATGGAGCCCTGTGCTGTGGAAGGCACTGTTATTCTAGCCTCACCATGACCTTTTGAGGGAGGTATTTTGCTCTCTAACGTTCACCAAGCTCTTACTGCACGCCTGGTGCTCGCTAATTCCTTGACTCGCTTTGAATCCTCACACAGCCCTGAGAGATGGGTAGCTACTCTGACCCTGTCCCAGAGGTCGCACAGGGAGGCGTGGGGGTGGTTAAGCAACTGGTCTAAGGTCATGTGGCAAGGAAGTGGCAGCTCTGGGATCTGAGTGGTCAGTGTGTCCCACGAACTAGTGTGACTCAAAGTCCCTGCTCTTTACACTTACACAGTCTGTGTACCCATAGTGCTCGGAAGAAGTAGGACCCTTTCCTACAGAAGAACAGTCATCTCCAGCAGAGATGTTAAGATGGAAGATTTATTTCCACTCTTCTTTGGGGTGTTCTGGTTACTGTGGCTCATCAGAGGGCCTAGACTTCCACGTTTGCTCCAGGATGCAAGGGCTGAACACACTTGCTGGAGGAATGTGATCGTGCAGGGGTGCAGGCAGCCGTATGGAAGGATTAGCACACTGGGGTGTGTATGCGCACGGGGGGCCGGGCCATTCACAAAGGCCTAACCGGTCCAAGCCTGTGGTAGGCAGATTTCAGAGCCATAGGAGCCAAAGGTAATCCTAAACTGTGTAAATGTCCAATAGATCCTTGACTGATTTTTACTTTTTGAATTATTTTCATTTTAATGGTTTATTGTTACACTGACACAATGGGATAGGTCCTCAGCAAAGGTGTCCTGTTGGCTTGAGAGCCTCTGGCATTATCGGGGTGATTTTCTCATCTCATGGCAAGCAGATAGGATTAACAGATTGTGATTTCTGACTGGCATCCTGAAAAAGTCATTCCCAGAGCTGGGCCCCCCTGCCTAGAAGACACACTGTAGTGAAAGAGGAGAAAACAAGGCATCCACAACATCTCTTGGTCAGAGCTGCTTTAGAGATGATGCTGGCTTGCTTTGCTCCAGACTAGGCTTAAGTGCTACTGTCTGACAGAGCCTTCTCCTCATGCCGGGTCAGAACACCTGCCTCCTTTAGGAGAACTGCTTGCTTGCCCCTCAGACCTTGGTCAGGAGTGATCAGTAGGACTCCTCTCTGCCCACCCACCCCCCGGTGACCCACATCAGAGGGAGTTTCAGAACTCTCTGGACCATCAAAGATGTCACCAGAAGGACGCAGCCAGGCCAGAAACAGCCATTGTTTAGCATTTTATTTGCAAGGGACTAAAAGGCCAGTGAAATCTTTTGACTGGCTTCTACCTCCTACATTTTCCATGTTCTTGTGATTTTAATAAAAAAACTCAAGGTATAAACTTGCCCAGAAAAAGGAGTAATCCCTTGTTTGGAAGACTCTAGGACAGATTACTAGGAAAATTCTGTATGTACATCTATCTGTATATGCATAACTAGATCCATGTATGTATTTCTTAAATGGATAGGGATGAGAAGGGAAAGAAAGGCTGAGCGCTGACTTAACTCAAGGTCACCTTGCTCTTCGGTGGCTGAGCCAAAACTAGGACGACTTCTTTTGGTTTTCACCCACTACCCTTTGTTAGGAAACCCTGGCTGACTGGCACCCGCCTTGTTATCTGGGGGTCTTGTGCTAACACTGCACAAATTCAAACCACTGGCCAGTGACTTCCTTGTTGCCTCCGGAAATTCCTCAGCCCACCTGCCCTAGAACCCTGACAAGCACCTCTACCTGAGCTGCATTCACCCTTTCTCCAGCTCAGACTTCTCTGAGGAGGGCCAGACCTTTCGACCCACCGCTCTCCCTCATCTCCACCTGCTAGCTCTCAGGCTCCAGGAACTCAGCCTGTCTCAGCCTGAACCCGTCCCCCTGCCCCTCTGCTGGTGCTGTCCACCTGCCCAAGCACTGGAGCAAGCCTCAGGTGTCATCCTTGAGCACTTTCTACTTTCCTCCCCAAACCTAAGCAGTCGCTCAGTAGTACCCAGCCACTGTCCTAAATATATTGAGAATCCGTTCCTTTTGCCTTATCTGCACCGCCACTTCCCTGCGGCTGCCTTCATCTCTCGCCTCTGTGAAGATGTTCATCTTCTAACCGCTCGACCTGCCTCTGCCTTTTCCTCTCGAATCCAATCTCTGCCCTGCACCAGTTGAATCTGATAATGTCCTTTCTTTGTGTCCCCCGAGTGATGGCTTACTGTGACTTTCAAGATCCTCTGTGTTCAGGCCCCTGCTTCCCACACCAGCCCCATGTGGGATCCCCGGCCTGCTTCACTGGTGTTCTGCAGTTCCTTGGAAGGTGACACTTTCTTCAGCTCTTGGTGCTTCCCATATGTTGATTGCTCCTGTTTTTCAGGTCCAAACCAGAGGCCACGCTCCCGATGCCCCAAATGGATTAAATTCCCTCCCTGGGCCCCAGAGGACCTCGAGCTTCCCCTCTTGCGGCACCTGCCACACTCTATGGTCTCCCTCCTGCTATGCTTGAGGTTCTGGCCTGTTCACCATCACCTTCCCCACACCTGCCACACTGGCTGATGTCCCTAGACACTCAATGAGTATTTGTGTAATGAGTAAATAAACGGGAACCTCAGATGGACACAGTAGTGCCGACTTCCTTAAGTTAATCTATTTTATCACATTTAGTTGAATAAAATCAAGATTATTGCTCATTCATAACAGCAATTCATGGTTGAGTGGATATGATATTGATGATATTAAATATGAATACCACCTCTTTGGTTCTCGATTTCTTCATCTATCAAGGTCAGCGGTTATGTCCCATGCAAGGTCCTTTCTAGTTCAAAAAAAATCTAAGGAATTCACTCCCAAACTCTATTAAAGTGCTGAGCTTTCCCATCTGCATTTTTGTCTTTGAGGGCAACCTTAAGAACTTTAAAACAAATATTAGTTCGTCTTTACTATAGATGGACAGATGCCCAAATACATAAGGATTCTTGAAGACAGACTACCTTTGCACAACACCTTATAAATCACATCTAGTGCTCCTTCCAACTGATTTATAAATTAGGAAAAGAGTTAACTAGCCTGAGATCTCATATAAGAATAATCACAATCGGGCACCTGGGTGGCTCAATCATTAAGCGTCTGCCTTCGGCTCTGGTCATGATCCCAGGGTCCTGGGATCGAGCCCCGCATTGAGCCCCGCATCGGGCTCCCTGCTCCATGGGAAGTCTGCTCCTCCCTCTCCCACTCCCCCAGCTTGTGTTCCCTCTCTCACTGTGTCTCTCTCTGTCAAATAAATAAATAAAATCTTTAAAAAAAAAAAGAATAATCACAATCAAACATGGAAGTGCTCTTCACTCAGTCACAAGTCTGTACTAACCCTTCCAGAAAATCTTCTTTCCACACATCATCATCAAGCTGTTAAAAAGCCTTTTTGGAGGATTCAAACACATTTAAATGTAAAAGTTATTTTTAAGTGCATTCTTGAAGTGGTGCTGTTTTTTTCTCATTCAGATTAGGCTTCACTTCCTTTCCAATTAACTTAATTCATCCGTGTATTCATTATCCAAGAAGCAGTTATGCACCTGTTCCTTACTTGATAACACGTAAGGGGCAGGTAATACAGACACACCTTACATTCTAGAGACACTTCCTAAAGGCAGCAACCCCAGCTTTCAGTGCCCAGTGCTGCTTGTCAGGCCACAGAACTGCCTGCGCTCTCCTATGCTACCGTTAGGGGCCCCAGGGCCACAGCCTCCCTTCTTATCAGCAGCATTGTCAACACTAACCATATTCCCTATAGTTTCTCTCTTCCCGAGAATGACACTCAGGGGTGACCCACGGTTCCCTCACTCTTCTTCTTTCAGTGGCCAGTCCCATAATCCAGTGTTTACAACATGACTGACTCTGTTGGCTATCACTGTGAATACTGAAAAGTTAAACTTTTTGTGTTTGTTTCTTGCTAAATTTTATTTTATTTTTTTAAGATTTTTTTATTTATTTATTTGACACAGAGAGAATGAGAGAGAGAGAGAGACAGAGACAGAGACAGAGAGCAAGCACAAGCAGGGGGAACAGCAGGCAGGGGAGAAGCAGGCTCCCGGCTGAGCAAGGAGCCCGATGCGGACCTGAGCCCAGGACCCCGGATCATGACCTGAGCCGAAGGCAGATGCTTAACTGACTGAGCCACCCAGGCGCCCTTTTTGCTGGATTTTAAAAAGTCAAACTAATCAGTAGCAATCGTAACCATAATCACTCAGAGAGGTAATCTGCTTCTTTGTTTGTTTGTTTGTTTTAAAAAAAAACATCATCTTACCTTTCCCTGATTGAAACTGGAATTCCTCCCAGATAATATGTGCTGAAATCAAATATGTCACCAGCAATTATGCTGTTATACAAATCCACATTTATCCTCATAAGTTTCTGGGTTTTTCCGATTATGATCTGTATCTAGAATAAATGAGAGATGAGTCAGTAAGCAATGGGGAATTAAAGAATCCTATTCAGCATGGGTCAGGGCTGTTATGTTTTTATTTCCTTCAGACTGATTATATACGTGGTAGGAAGACTTTGTGCAGTAGCACTTCTGGATAAAAATATAATATTGAAACATTTTAATAGAAACGTTTGCATTTGAAATTAATCATGTTTTATATATGCCATATATATATATTTCATGCCCAGGTACTCAGATTTTGAAAGGAGGTATCCCTCCTCCTTTAATAACTGTAAGTTCGTCTGGTAATAGAAAAATGTTCTGGGCACTGACTTAATTTTAAAGAACTGAGGATATTTAATAATTCACATGAACAGACTGAAAGGACATACCGAATGGTCTTTTCCATTGTTGACAACCTGTGTAACTTCTTTTTCTTTCGGTGGCTCTGAATTCAGTTTGTATTGCACCAGGAGCTTGCCATCTTCTATATTTAGAGATATGAAGCGATCCTAAGGCATGGAAACAATGGAGATTTATCAGGAGATTCCACTGAAGAAGACCTAGAGGCCTGGAACTCAAATTACTCTCAAGTCACAAACTGCTCTCAGCTGCAGCCCCCTCCTCAGTTAACAGGGACAACAGTGCTGTAATATCCACCTGCCAGGTCGGGCATGACGTGTAAATATTCTAAGTCGTGTTCAACATCATGCTCAGTGGCCGGCATGCAGGAAAGACGCAATAAATGCAGCTATGATCACGATTTTGTTTCATATGATCCATAACCAGCATGCACAAATGGGAAGGGAAAAGATACAGGTCATTAACATCATTTGAAAAGATAACTGCCAACTTTCGGAGAGCGGTATGGTCTTCGTGAAACCCCCGACATTTGCCCCCCTCTGCTTGCCAACTGCTTGCTCTCTCAGCCTCATTTGCTGGCTCAACCCCTCCAGGCCCCCTCCTTCCATTCGAATGTGGAGGGTTCCCCGAGGGCCCGCAAAGACCTCTTCTTCCCTCCCACCCTCTCTTTGCTTCAAAGTCAAGGTCACTTTTGTAGCCCCAGTGCAGGTGTGTGCCCACGAAGCCCAGATGCTTCTCTCTAGCCTAGACATGTCTTCTCGGGGCCAGGTCCGCACATCCGGTAACCTTATTGTTACGGCAGGTGACTCGTGGATCCCTCAACTTTGAATACCACAAGCAGGGCTTGAGATCTACATCCCCTCAGCTGCCAAGCCTGTCTCTCCGCCCTTCCCATTGCTCTCCCTCCTCCTTTCTCTCTCTCACCAGTAAGCACCTTGCTGAGCCGGCCACAAACCTACTAGGAGTCACTCTGAAACGTTCCCTCCTCTCCCTTCCTATCAAATCTTGTCAGTTCCCCCATTTTTTAACTCTGTTTCATGCCACCCAGGGTCAGCCACGCTTGTTTAGCCAGACTACACAGCAATAATGCCCCGTCCCCCCCTACTCTGTCCCTTCCTGAACCCACTTGCCACTCTGCAGCCAGAGTGCTCTGTGGGAAAGGCCATTGAGAGCTCATTACCCCCTCCTTTGCTCTCAGGGGGAAGCCCCAGCTCCCCCGTACATGTTGTGGGGCTCTGATCATCCCTTCAGCTTCTTCTGCCTCTCCTTGCCCCAGCCACACGGGCCACCATTTTGTCCCTGAGCGCTCCCTACCCTTCCCACCTCCAGGCCGTCTTTATGCCCCTCTCCCCACAGCGATCACCCCTCTGCCCTGTTGCCTCCAAATGCTGTCTTCTACTTTCCTCCCGGTCTCAGATTACCCAGACTTTGCTCAAGTCTTTTATACATCTTCATTCACCCCAAACTTTCCCTCTATACCACTCATGGCCATTGTGATGAATTAATTAACCAATTAATGAGTATAGCTTTGTGAAATATTTGTCTTCCCCTCTAGACTAGAAGGTCCTTGAGGGCAGCAACGGCTTGTAACTGCATCCCTATCCCTGTGTAAAGCACAAACTTGAAGCAGGCCTTTCCTCAGTAGAAAGATACACTGAGGAATTTCTGATGTAGGGCTTACAGGCTTATTCTTCCACAGTTCCGTAATGACAAGAAGACCTCTCTTTGACATCTATGGACAGAACCCTTACTTAAAAGTAACATCAGTCCTTATCTGGATCCTAAATCTTGTCCTTGGGAGACAGTTAGGGTTCATCACACTCAACAACAGCCAAGTCACATCAGCTCACTGAATCATGAGCCACTCTGCCTAATAACAGCACTCAAAATCATTTTCTCTTATCTGGTTACTAATGGAGTTCCATAAATTTTCTTCTAATATGAGTAGTACTTCTGGTTCTTGGTCTCCAAAATGTAGTACAAGGAAGACCTTATTTTGGAAACAACCCCCTTGCCCTGAAGATGCTGTGTGACTTCTTGGCTCCTTGCATTCTATCGGCAGGTCAGGACCTTCCCAAATCCTCAGAACGGGTTCAGCCTTGGAATCTGCCAGAGGGTCAAGACCAGCCCCAGAGAAGAGAGTTGGATCAGGTCTCTCTGTCCCCACCCTGCAGGTAGAAGGGGTTGGTCAAATCCCAAGCTCCGTATCAACCCCATGTTCTCAGACAGAGATCCCATGAGCTGATCCACACTTCTCCTGTAGAGCAACCACAGAAGGCCCCGCGCCTAGCAGTCACTCCAGGCCCATCACCCAGAAGGCCCTACGCCTAGGAGCAGTCACTCCAGGCCCATCTCCCAGCAGATGGCGCTGACCATTACTTGCAGAGTCACTTTGGATTTCTCCAAACTAGACTTAAGAATGGCCTCCAGAAACTTCAGCGGCTTGAAAACTCAGAAGCTTCCAGGCCTTGGAAAGCCAAGGATCAGACTGAAAAGACATACTTCCACAGAGCCTGGCAAAAGTTGGACCAAGATGCAAACAGCAGGAAGTCAAACAGTCTGACTCTCAGAGACCCTGGGAGGTTGTCACGTGATTTCGGGCAGACTAAGTATATTATCAGGCAAACCATGGTTTTCAAAGAATAAAACTGACAATGACATGTTTGGGTGGCATGTTCTCAGATTCCCAATTACTTACCTCATTAAAACACACATTCCCATAGCCAAAGAAAGCAGAATTGGGCCAAGAGAAAAGACGTAGGTAACATTTGCACACTTTTTCAGATCTAGTTAACTGTTTATAATAACCCAGTTACCCCAAAGTTGCTTAACTGAATGGACGTACTTGGTACTATTTGGATGTTTGTTATAGAATACCTTGTTTTCTGCAAAGAACAGCAGTCCTCTATCCACAGTGGTCTGAATTGTCTGTCCAAAGGTTGGGATGGGAGCATTTGGTTGAGTTGGAATTCGAGCGTAGCCTGTACCTTCAAAATAATTTTTGTCTGACTCTTCCTTTCTCCTGTCAACATCAATGATCACACGTGAGAACACGGCAGCAAATGACCACCGCTCAAGTGTGCTTATTAATACAAGATGCTGCTATCTGATAAAACAGAGCAAAGCCAATGCAATGTAGCTGTCATGATTTTGTTCAAGAAAAGGAAACATCTTTAGAAGGTTAAAAGAGCCAACCATTTCTCCTGGATGTGCTCTTATGCTCTCTGATAATCAAACCCTAGCTCAAAAAAGATAATAGTTAAGAGTCAGCCTTTGGAAATATCTACTTAGGAAGACATGGCCTAACTGAAGACCTGAAATGTAAAAAAATTATTAACTTGAAATATAATTTTATTCTGAGTAATAGTATGTCCAAATCCTTTTAACTACAGGGAAGGTCAGGAGCTTAAGACAGCAATTTCCAAATAGGTCCAGCTGCCAGAGTACCTTGAAAGTTATGGTATGTTTCATGGACTAATATTTTTTTTTTGAAACTTACAGTAAATACGTAATTTTGTGCCTGAATCAGGTACCATCTAATATTGAATATTTTGGGGTAGTAAGCACCAAAAATTTAAGAAGGATGCATTTTTTTCAGAATTGAGAAAACTCTATCAATCTAATATCTTATACAGATGAGGAACTTTTAGGGGTGGACTAGCAGTATTGCATGCAATCATAATTTAAGATCTACTGGCCCAAAGCTATCAGTGACACCAAAATCACATCTCATCGGCTCATCCCTTTATTATATGTAATATAACAGCAAGTTACCAAAAATCACAGTTACAGAGACACTGGTCCCTGGTTGTTTGGTTGTTGTTGTTGTTGTTTGTTTTGTTTTGTTTTTACCTTCTACAAGGCTCTACTTCAGTTGTGTTGAGATTGAAAGTTTTTTTGAAGTTGTACAAGCTCAGGACATTTTCATTGAGGTCATCTAATTCAATACAACCTTTGTATGAAGGCAACCTCAGTCTAGCAGGAAGCTGAAAAAATGAAACAAAAAATCTAATTCAACAAAGGACACTGATCAGGCTGGGCAAAAAATAGTATGAATCCATCATTTTCAATTGTCATTGTAGCATAGGGATTAAGAATGTGGACCCTGGAGCCAGAGACCCTGGCTTTGCTATTTACCAGCTGTCTGACTTTGGACAAGTTATTAAACTGCTCTGTCTCAGTTTCTTCATCCATGAAATGGGAATGGTAATGATGCCTATTTAGATTCATATACTTAAGTCTAGATCACTGCACATAGGAAGTACTCAAAAACTGTTAGTTTTTATCACTGGATATGCTTTAAGAATATATAGTTAAATCCCTCTTATATATAATGGATAATTGAAAAGAGACCTGAGGTTCTTATGCCAAATTCAAACGTAAATATTTTCACTCAGTGAAATGACATTTACACTTACTCTAAAGTCAGGTGGGTAACCTCCAACATAAAATACAACATTTTCAGGATCCAGATTGAGAAGCGTGTGGCTGCTTCCACCATCCATTTCATGGAATTGGGGTGTTCCTGGTTTACTGGATGTGGCTTTTTTGGTGTAATTTAGACTTGCAAACTGATAAACTCTGTTTAAAAATAAATTAAAGTTATATTTAAAAATTATACAAACATTGAAGAAGTCAAAGCCAAGATACTGAAAATGGGGTTTAGCAGCACACACACTGGGGAGTTTGGTAATATTATCAGATTAAGAAAGAGGGACTGGTACCTCTGAAATTTCACCCGGTCCATTACTGCCTCCTGAGTTTCGCTCTTGGTCACGCTCTGGTCCACTTGGAGTTCAGACTCCTGTTCTCCCAGGTTGTAAACACACGTGAGCTTGCCGTCTACAACTGCCATGCCGATGTAGTCCCTGGAGGCCTGGAGACATCAAGGCCACCTCAGAGCACTTCGCACACACCCTGGTCCTCTCAACTTCCCATCCCAAGAGAGTGCATTTCAAATAACTAATGGGTTTTACACAATAACCCTTGGGCAGACTGAATAAATGAGGTACCTCCTTGTACAGAACAATAGAGACAGAACACTTAATAATGTCTGCACTGTCTTCTCTCCCAGATCATTGCACTCACGGATTCACTCCCCCATTCGCTCAATCTGCAAATATTTGCCAAGCACTTGCCATAAAGATGAACTAGATACAGACTCAGGTCTCCATTGGATTTTAGTCTGGAAATAAGCCATTTTTGTTCTCCCTGTACCATACAATGATCTCTTAACACTTTGCACATGCCTCTGTTATAATACCTAGAACCCTCTGTTACAATACCTAGAACCCTCTGTTACCACGGTCAGCTACATATATATCTTTTTTTGTTAGCATATGAGCACTTGAAGATACATATGAAGTTTTAAAATTGTGGTAAAATATACATAACATGAAATTCACATTCAAGAAACAAATTTTTGTGTATCATACAGTGTTGGTACCTTGTAGGTAGATGGTATAAAATTGTTGAAGGAATAATGTGCATTTTGTCACAATACAAAGCAGAAAGTCATGTCATAAGAAAGCTACAAATAAAGTACCAACACTTTAAAGCATTAGAGAGTGATTAATAATAGTGTCAATTTTAGGAATCTTTAAACACCCACACACACTAATCACAGCCAATTACTTTCTAATTGACCAGAATTTTCCAGAACCATGTTTCAGACATTTTTTTTCCAGCAATTATATCCTAACCCAGCCAGCGATTACTTTTTCCTCTGACACTTAAGTTGAAAAAAATGTATTTTAAGAGGAGGGACTAAAGACTAAAATGAACTGTTCAAAGGGTGCCTGGGTGGCTCAGTCGGTTGAGCACTGGACTCTTGGTTTCAGCTCAGGTCGTGATCTCAGGGTTGTGAGATCAAGCCCTGTGCCAGGCTCTGCGCTGGGCATGGAGCCTGCTTAAGATTCTCTCTCGGGGCACCTGGGTGGCTCAGTCAGTTACGCGGCTGCCTTCAGCTCAGGTCATGAGCCTGGGGTCCTGGGATTGAGCCCCATGTCCAGCTCCCTGCTCAGCAGAGAGCCTGCTTCTCCCTCTCCCTCTTCCTGCCACTCTGCCTACTTATGCTCTCTATCTGTCAAATAAATAAATAAAATCTTAAAATAAAAAAAAATTCTCTCTCTCCCTCTTTCTCTGCCCCACTCCACTGCTTGCTAAGAAAAAAGAAAAAAAAAAAAGAAAATGAACTGTTCAAAATGCCTGTAACAGTAGTGGTTTAAGAATTTAGAATTAGAAAGAGATAGGGCAACTGCATGCCTTATTAATTAGGCAAGAGAGGCTTCATTTCACTCCAGTCCTCACCCACAGACGGTCCCATCCCTGCCGACTTGAGGAAGGTTCTGCAGCTGGGCATTCTGAGGAGGAGGGCAGGGTCACAATTTTGTGAGAAAGAACCACTGATGATTTCCATGAAGCCTTGATATTGCTGCCCTGGTTGTTTAGGAAGGGGTGCTGAACTTTAACCCCCGGTGTGCATGTGCTCACATGTGTCATGTGCTGAGCCCACTGGGCAAGGCCTCTCCATCAGATAAGACCAACAGATAACAATTTGCAAATGATGGGTGGCCCCTTGGGATGCCATCAGAGGGGGTGGAGTCTGCTGACATATTGGTGGGATTTCTTCCTGCTGTGCCAATGGCAATGGCACACTTGTGACATGTATCTCAAAAACCATATTCTTTTGGGCCACAATTCAACCCACAAAGAGTGGAATTCCCCAAGGTGATGGTAGCATGATCACCCCAACAGCGTTCCTGCTCTTGTGTCATGAGGACACTTAACAGCCCTATGGAGAGGACCATGTGGCATGAAAAATGCCTCCTACCAACAACCAGCACTAACTTACAAGGCGTGTGAGTGAGCCAAACTGAGAGCAAATCTTCAGCCCCAGTCGAGCCTTCAGATGACTGCAGCCCCAGCCAACATCTTGACAGACAGCTCATGAGATCCCCTGAATCAGAACCATCTGGCTAAGCCACTCTTGAACACTGCACCATAGAAACAGTGTGAAATAATAAACATTTGCTGTTGCTTTGGGCCACTAAGTTTGGTGGTCATGCAGCAAATACAGAACCAATATTCAAAAAAAAAAAAGATCCCCAAACCATATTATTTTTAAAAACAAGAGAAATGTCAAAGCGATACCTACATCTTTATTTCCAAGGTACATCACAAACATATTCTCAGTCCTCCCATATTCTCTTGATTCAGGTCTTTGGAGAAACAAAGAAAGAGATGTGTATCCTTTCAAATCTTCTAGGTCATTCGGCAGCCGGACTTCAACTCCAGATTTACCATTGAACCTCATGGGGACAGCAACCTGTAAGGGAAAAGATCTAGGTCATTAAAGATTCTTCTGTGAGGAAAGGGGGTGTGCTCAGAGGGACAGCCTGGGACTGTGCCACAACTCCTTTCATCTCTATGTCAGCATTTCCCAGTTGTTATGATAAAGAGCAAAGGAGTGTGTGTGTCTACTAGGTCTGGGTTATAAACTCATGAAGCTGTTTCAGGAGCTGAGTAATAAAGCTTTCATATTCTTCCTGTTTACCAGCCAGGGGTCTTTGAGAAGTGCATCTAATTCTCTGTACCAGAAATGATAATCATTATTATAATCATAGCTGCAACCCTAGGAGGTTTTTGTACAGATGACCTAACATGTATGGAAGCACTTAGCATGGTGCCTGACGTGTTGTACATATATAATACATCAAAAATATTTTTTAAATAAATTCTTTAAGGAACCATTCCCCATTAATATATTACATGTTATGGTTGTTTTTATTATAGGCATTCAGTCCTTAAAAACAAGTGCATCAGGGCTCTCTAAAACAGTGCTTCTTAAGCTCAGTGGGTGAAGGACCATTTTTTCCCCTCTCTAATCTGCCCTGGACCAATACTTTTGTAAATATATTAAAAATCAAATTATTAGAAAAATGAAATAAATAAGGCGTGCAAAATACATGCCTACTATCCCATGCTTGAATTTTGAGGCAATTCGAATTATCGAAAGTTTTTAGACATATACATTCAACTTTATATTTACATATAATGGACCAGTAACAAAATTTCTCTGACTAGTGCTGGTCTGTGGACCAACTTGGGTAGATGGCATTCAAACACAGAAAATAAATGTTCCTTAATAATCTAAAGAATAACACTCCTGGAATGATACTTACACCAACTATATTTTATCTATCAAGCATTTAAATATTTATGGAAAACCTGGTTTATGCAAGGTATTATGTTGGAGTGGGGTACTTAGTGATGGTATAGGCTGTCATTTCTCGAACGTGCTTGTGACTGAGCACCCCTCACCCATTTTACAGGCTCATTTTATGCCTCTTTCTCTACACCCCTCCACCCTCCAGTCTACCCAATCACATCCTGAGTCTTTCTTGGCATGCCCTTTGTCACCTGGAAAACTCTCAGTCTTTTTAATTTTTTTAATTAAGAAGCCATCTCATGGGGGCGCCTGGGTGGCTCAGTTGGTTAAGCGACTGCCTTCGGCTCAGGTCATGATCCTGGAGTCCCGGGATCGAGTCCCACATCGGGCTCCCTGCTCAGTGAGGAGCCTGCTTCTCCCTCTAACCCTCTCCCTTCTCATATACTCTCTCTCTCTCTCTCTTGCTCTCTCAAATAAATAAATCTTAAAAAAAAAAAAGAAGCCATCTCATGTATACATAAAAAGAATGGAGAATATACCTGTATATTCATTACATTCTTAAGAAATTAAACATGAGTGGTATAATAGAAGCTCCTTGCATATCTCACCTTGTCCTCATTCCTCTCTCCCATCTCAGAGGCCACCACTACCCTGGATTTAGATTCCCATGCACGGTCCACGCACGTTGCAATATTTTTACTAAAATGCATCTAACTATAAACTGTAATCAGTTTTATTACTCATGTTTTAAATACTTTAATATAAATGGTATCTCCACATATCCATCTGCAACTTGCTTTCTTGGCCTCACTCTGTTTGTAGATGTATCTGTATTGACACACCTGCTGGCTCCAGCTCATTTATATTTATTGTGGTGTGGTCTTTCATTGTATACATTTATCACAATTTTATCCATCTCCTATTGATGGACATTTGGCTTTTTTCCAATTATCTTTGTGATGACAAGCTGTGTCGCATTGAACATTCTTCTACACGTCCTTTAGTACCATTCTGAGCCTCTCCAGGTAGAAATGAGTGTTGTCAAGACATGCTTAACACAGTTTTATCCAGCTTCTTAGTGTAGTCTGCTTACCAGTTGCCACACTGAAGCAGCTGGTGAGTAACCCGAGGTCAAGACTATGGCTTACTAATCTCTGTGTCCTGGGCACCCAGGAGAGCGCCGCACAACCCAGGAGCTCCAAAGCGCTGGCTTATTTTTAAGTTATATTTTATTATTTTCCACTTACATGGCACTTTTAGCCAGGAACTATTTTACATTACCTAGTTTAATCCTAAAAATCTCATGGGGACAGTCTTATTATGGACCCTGCTCTACAGATGAACAAAGTGAGGTACAGAGAGGTGAAGTAGCTGGCCCGAAGTCCCACAGCTCAGAAGTGACAGAGCTAGGACCAAAACCAAGACAATCTGGTTTGGTTAACAAGCTCTTGACCATGGTGTTATTATATGCTTCAAATTTTGTTGGATAAATTAGTGAATGAACTTCTATAGAAGGGCAAAAGCTAGAAACATAATAGTTTTCATTTGGTTTATATAAAGCATGAGTCGGTGTGAAAAAGTAGTGTCTTCCAACTGTGCCTTATGCTCTTTGTTTTCCTGTTAAAGGTTTTTTGTTTTTTTTTTTTAAGATTTTATTTATTTATTTGACACACACAGAGAGAGAGAGCACAAGCAGGAGGAGTGGCAGGCAGAGGGAGAGGAAGAGGGAGAAGCAGGGTCCCTGTGGAGTGCAGAGCCTGATGCAGGGCTCCAGCCCAGGACGCTGGGATCATGACCTGAGCTGAAAGCAGACGCTTAACTGACTGAGCCACCCAGGCGCCCCACTGTTAAAGGTTTTACGTTGGGAGTATTCCTCTTTCCCAGATGTAAGGGCTCAAAAAAAGTAATAGTGAGCCTTGGAATCAACCACAGTGTCCTTAGGGCAGTGATACTCTGACTTGGTTTCCCAACCCTCTGTCTCCGAATATCTCCCAGGGGGTAGATGAAAAATGGAAGATGTTTCATTAATATTATTTTAGGACAAAACAAATTCTTGAGAGAGAAGTGTCAGGAATTCAGGTAAACACTGTCAGGTGAAAATGAGAAAGGCTGATGAATTTGTGTTCCAATGAAGAAAATCTGCTATAATCCTCTGTCCTTAGTAAACGTGGATTCTACAACTTTCAAGCTGTAATAAGAAACTAGGGCCTGTGCAATATCACATCAGCACATTCTGATGATAGAACCCTTACTCGACCTTGCAATAACACTTCCCAACGAGGGTCTGGAGGAGACCCCTTCTTCCCGCCTGCATAAACTCAATGGGGAGGAAACTGCTTCAGGTCTCTGACATACCAGATCATTTACGGCATGAAGGTAACATGCACTTTTGAAGGTTGACAGGAGGAAGTCAACTTTCGCATTCCAAACAACCAAAAAATTAGAGCAAGAAGGACGACGAGTTCATGTGTAAACAAATGCCTTCCCTTTCTTGATGAATGTAGTGACTTCTCAAAGACGGAGCCTTAGTGCCTAGCAATGTGGGGACATGCCTACCTTATTTGCAGCATCTCTGGCCTGCTGAATTAGCTCCCGGATACGGTCCACATTATCAGAGATGTTGCCCAGTGGCAACAGCTGTTGGTTGATACTTTCAATCTTGCTCAAAAGATCGGGCAGTTTGTTGGTTAATTTATTTACTGTGGGTGAGATTACAAACAAATTTATAATTGCGAGTTGAGAAAAGGTTAAATACAGATTTTCTCATTGACACTATTTGTCAAGTGTTATGTTTGGTTCCTAAATATTGGATAGGATGGCTCAGAGTCAGGTAATACCTTTCCTAAATACATCAAGGATTTTAGCTTGCTATCTAGTTATCAGATCATCTTTCTTGACCACTACAGAAGAAAATAAATCTTTGTTTTTTGATCCTTAATATCAATTATAATTTAACACCTCATGATTAAGGGATCTGTATCTCCACTCTATAAAAGAAAAAATCAATAGCAATGTTAATGGGTTAAAAAAAAATCCTACCTAGTCTTTCCAATTAATAGAATGCCCATATTCTTTGAATGTATTACGTGAAGCTGCTTTCTAATATTTTAATTTCTAATTTGGGGCTTTACAAGGGAAGAATTTAAATAAATCAACCAAAGCACATAACAATGCAGAAACTGGATAAGATGTCCTGGCCAAAAGATGCCTGATACCTGAGTTATCCGCGTCGGTGAGAGCCTTGTTGAAGTCTTCACTTTGTGTTCTCCCATAGGTATCCTTAATTCTTGTCACATCTGTCTGAATGGGGCCCAGCCCGTCGAGCACCTCATTTGTGATGTCGTTGGCATTTCTGACCATGCTCTTTGCGCTACTGATCATACCACTGATATCATCTAATGCACACACACAGAGGGAGGTGTAAGTATCTGAAATGCTCGACAAAAGAAGCCAAGTCTGGTGGGTAGGGAGATGCTGACCTCTCTGTATCCCACGAAGGTCGTCGCGGATGGCAGTGAGATTGGTGTCAATCAGCCCTTTCTGAACTGTCAGAACTTTCAGAGTCTGCTGTAGGTTGTTGAGAGCTGGGCTGATTTCTACAATAAAGCATCATGAGGCAATTACCTATGGATTTTGACCTTCCATTGGTATTGGTGGCGCCTGAAGTAGCCAGCAACGGCAGACCACTGAGCAGACCTGCATCTCAGAGATGCCCGCTGTGTGCGCCTAGACCCACAGCTCCACTGGACTCTGGTTACAGAGGCCAGGAGCATTCCCAAGCCTGTGGTCCCAGACTCCTCAGAAATGCCCATGAAGAGAGGGAGAGGCTTATCATTTAGGGGAGGTTTAACTTCCACTCTGCTCAGGGCAATTGTCTCTGCTTAGGGAAGGAAAGGGAGGCGATTGTCTTATTCACTGCTGTGTCACAGTGCATTGTCTGGCACTAGTCTGGGCTTAATATTAGTACATACTTACTGAATGAATGAATAATGCAGAAAGGATGCCTCTTCAGTCGGAATATAATAAAGAAGTGCTGTTGAGAGAACCTTATCCAGGCAAATAGACATACAAAGTAGGCATTGTTTCTGTTCATTTCCAGACTGTCACATTTAAGGCGATTCAGTGAAAGGGAGGGAGTTCACAGGCATTCCTAGCTGATAATATTGCCACTTCGGGGTCATGCAAAATGACCAGTGAATGCTTTAAGACCCAAGTGATGATATATGGCTTAAATTATGATTCCAGGACTGATTTAAATAACAATGTAGACAAATACCATAGGATCTCTCTTACATGTGGAATCTACAAACATGCCCAAAATGAAAACAACAACCTCATAGATACAGGGAACATATTAGTGGCTGCCTGAACCCGGGGGTGGGGGTGGGAAAAATGGGTGAAGGGGATCAAAAGGTAAAAAAAAGCAAGCAAGCTGGTAGAAAACAAAAGAAAAAAATACCAATGTAGTTAGCATCCTTAACCCTATCTAAAACACCAATCCTCACCTCTTAGCTCAGATTCTGTAAAGGGAATAGATGTTATACCAGGAAATTTTAATTCCTGCAATTTGCTAAGCAAATCATTCTATGTCACTACACATTTTTTTGGATGTAATTTTTCATGCATTGAATTTTTTTAAATGAAAAAAAAAGATAAATACATTTATTTACTGTCAGAAGGCATCTAATCACTAAAGGGCCTAAGATGATTTCTTGGCCATGAAGGAACAGGAGAGACGAGAGAAAAACCAAGAGACAGCATTTTCAGAACACTGGAATTCCGTGAGGTTGAGATGGTTTAATTGTTTTGTAAAAAATTAAATAAATGGGAAATTTTCAAAGATAAAATTTATGATTCAAAAATTCTCATGCTTCACAGTGGTAGTGATTTTGGTACTTTTACTTACTAAGGTTCTAGGACTTAAGAAATTTTAAAGCACCAGTGACCTGGAACTATTATCTGGGCCTTCAAAGAGAAACCAGACCTGCACACACCTCTACGCTGTGTGGGTCTCCAATGCCATGGTCACATGTGGATTAAATGAAACAGGCCCCCAGGTCCAGGCCCAAACAGGTCTGTCGCCCTCAAGATTTATGTATACTCATGAAGTTCTAGTTAATTTAGTACATGTGAGAATGTTGGGTGGAAACAATAAATCTATAAAATAGACCATGAATTTCCAGAGTGTCGTCTGCATTGACACTGAGGTTCAAGAAGAGCATTGGCTGCTAGAATTTGCTGCTTCTCCTGGTCTTACCGGTCGTTTTCAGGCCCTTGGCTATCCCAGCCACCCCCTACCCACCAACTCTAATACCTTGCCGGAGCTGCTTCTGTGTTATCTTGGCTTGCTTTAAGAGTTTATCACTGTCGGAACTCAGAGTTTTCGCTTTTCTTGGAAGATCTTCCTTTATCACTGTCTGAAAGCAAAGCATTTATCAGCCTTGAGCATGTGGCACGCCTTAGGAAATGTGGAGTGAGATTTTCATCCTACTCTGAAAACCCTATCTTCAGCCTTTAAAGGATGAGGTTCAAAGGTGGGGAGGAGCCTTAAGACTGTTTCTTAAAAGATACAGTTAGGGCTGTAGGTAGATACTTGTCTCTTGGGGAGGTGGACCCTTCCCTGGTGACAGACTGACAAATTATGTGACACCTGTCTCATTTTTCTGCCTGTTGTCTGCACAATACCCTCTACAATAACTGAGACAGAACTGAATTACTTTTAGGTTTTCAATATTTGGGAGAGAAACATCTTTAACCTTCCAAGAAGGCCTGTCCCATAATTCTTTGATGTCTAATATTTTGTTCTTTATTTTTAGGTATAGGACTATTATATGGTGCAGAGAAGATCCCATAGGACTCCAAGACATGCCTAGGTGTTATGACAAATGACAGGAAATAAATGTTTACCAAACTGTATATAAAATCTCTTTTTTGGGAAATGTCAATACTTAATCACAGCCTATATCATTCCTAGAAAGGGGCAGGATATACTACTCATCATTGATATTCAGTGTCATTTCCATTTGGTTTTACAAATTGTTCTTTCAACTGTGCTACACATATCAAAACAGTCAAGTGAATACAGAAATGGTCCACATCTAGAGCAAGTTCAAGTCTATTCAATACAGGTTCTGATTTAAAATAATGCTTGGTTATCTTCCTCAGTGCATACAAAAAAGAAAAGGTGCCAGTGCAGGTGCCCACCTGGAGGGCTGCCTCGGACGCGCTGGTGGCCTTGTTGGCAGCATCCTCAGCCACTTTGATTGCGTTGAGGATGTTCTCATAGGCGGTGGCGGCATCCACCGCACAGCGCACCAGCTCGTTCCCACTGGTGTTCCTCTTGATCCTGGAAGACCGTGTGGGTGAAGGGCTCCAGCAGCCCCCACAGCTTGGAAGGCAGCTGAGGCCCCTTCCATCACCGCCCCCGCCCCGCCCCAGCCTCTCGGATTCAGTGGGCAAATGGGAGACCAGAGGTGGCAAGGACGCATCTGGGAATCAAACCCCTGTTGCAGGTGGGGCTGGGCCCTGGGCCCTGGGTCCCACCCTCTACCCTGTTCTGGAGACCCAGCTGTCGGGGAGGCTTTCACGCTAGGCTCCAGCTACCCGTTCAGTTAGACCTCGGGGGTAACTCACTCCTCCAGCTGCTTTGCCAACGCTTGTAAGGACTGTGCATGCGCTTCTGCCTCCGCCACCAGGGACGCTTTGCTGGTGGACTGGGAAAGTTCTCTCACTTTGCCACTTAGCCCATGTCTTTCTTCATTTAAAGTGGCAGCTAACTTTTCATATTCCTGTGTTTTCAGGTAAACAGACAGTGTCAATTTAAGCAAAGAATGTACATGCTGTTTTCTTAAACTCTGTCATAAACTTCAGGCTCCCAGGATGCATTACTTCAGTAGTGGTGCTGATAATATTTTTCTAAGTTTTCCCACCATTTGAACATTTTTCTTATGATGGGTAGCCCCTTTGATAAATTTTATAAAAGCACACAGTTATCATTAGTGTAAAGTTGTTTTTTCTGGCTTAGAAGTTTTTTTCTGATTTAAAAACAGCTATTATAAAAGGTATTTTCCAAATACCCGTTGGGCTGCTAATGTGGTCAATCTTTGATCAGTCCTAAATAGGTTCCGCTAACAAAAGTAGGCTTGATATTTTAAAAACAGCATTCCAATTTTGTTTTGTTATCACAAAAGCAACATTTGCTCACTGTAGGCTAATTAGGTGGCACGAATAGACATAGGGAGGACACTTCATTCGCACCCCTGCACCCCAAGGGTAAACACTTTGATTTATTTCCTTCCATCTAAAAGACATATGTTGCAGAAAAAACACAGGTCAGTCTATCTCCTGGTTTCCTCGGATATGATCTGAATGTTTTTTCAATTTTCCGGAGAACGAGTTTTGTCTCTACCTCCTGGCTTTTCCCTATCCGCTGCAAAAGCATGTTGGTCTGCAGTAAGGAAGAGTCCGCGGTGGCTAGGTACTTGGAGAAATCACTCTGCAGGGAATTCATTTCTTGAACTTGCATCTGGAGAGAATAAAAAGAATATCTGCTTGAACTGCATGATATGTTATCAGAAGGCAGAGGCATAACTAGACCACAGCATAGAAGTAATTTCAGAGCCAGAACGTTCTCTTGAACTTAAAGATCATCTAGGCAACTACAGAGTGAGGGGAAATCAGTTCACTTTGCTGTGTGGGTGTGTTGTCATGGTTTCATGGTTTCCTCAAACTCCATGCCCGGGAAACAATAGTTAGCACTGTAGAAGAAGCTTTCTATACCAGGGCGACTCAGCCAGTGAGGTGAGTCAGCTCTGGTTTGTGAAGCAGAATGAGGGATTGTCACTAAACAAATCAGCACCAACCACCACCATGCTCTACGTGCCAGGCCCCACAAGGACACAGAAGCGCTTCAATGTCCTCAACAAGAGAGCACACAGGACCTGGGAAGGCCAGGCGAGGAGCCGCTAAAGCTCCGAGACCTACAATATTGGATCACACTCCATCATCACCAGTGACTTCCAACAGCAGAGTTGCTGTCTAAAGAGGCTTCGGTAGTTAAGGGTATTGCCATCTACTAAGATATTATTTATTTTCTTTTACCAAATTCTTCCTGTTGGGGGCCAGTCCTGTGTTATTCCACTCTGACCTTCCTGCCGTTTTATAACGCCTCACACTCGTGTTGCTATCTCAGCATACAATGTGCACCACTGGAAAAATATACATACTATGAAATCTCGAGCCCTAAACCCTGTCTCTGCAGCTCCTGCATGAGGCCCGTATTTTAATCTACTTCCTGTAAGGCAGATAAAGGCTTAAAATGCCTTTGCCGGTGACTATGATAATGATGTTTACCCAGCTGACACAAAAAGTCAGTTATTTAAAACATATATTATATACATGGATTTAATTATAGCAATATTGATTTCATTTCTCATCTACTTGGCAACATTATTCCTCCAGTACTCCATTAGCCCGGGGCAGGGGTAAAGTAATTTGTTCCGCTTTCTCTGTGGTTTAAGTTCACAATCTTTTCTGGTGACTGAGGAGGAGTAAGAATGACTTTGGTGTTGCCTTTAATTCCTGATTCCTGTTCGATGAGCATCTGTTGGATGGACAGGTGCGCACAGACTCAATGTACAGACGGGCCCCCGGCCAGGCCACTTTGTTAATGATAAAGATCCCTGCTTCCTCAGCCTTGTCATTAATGAAAGCGTGCAGATGCTGACCGTGGACCCACCTTGATGGATTCCAAAGCCTTCTCATTCTCTCGGTTGAGGCCAGTGGCCTGCTTTGCTTGCGCAGCTGCCTTCTGTAGCACGGCACGCAGGTCACTGAGTTTGGCTTCATAGTCATGTAAAGAATCCCGTATATTCTTAACAAGTGCCCTGTTCTCCCCTTGGTGGTCTTCCAGCCAGCTCTTTATCCGAGTCAGCACTGGAATACATCACATTTTTTCAATTGAGAGATGAGTACCTTGAAGCTCAACTATAAAGACTACAGAAGAATTGAGTTTCCACTCATTTTCATGGTTTTCCTTGAACTTGCAAGTGAACAGGAAAGGAAACTAACATTGATGCGGTGGCTGCTGTGTGTGTGTCTGTGTGTGCACACATAACCCACATGAAAACAGTCACATCAGTCTTAGGTTTCGGATACGGAAAGGACAGCCCGCGAAACTCAGTTGTATGGCCAGTCCGTCTTGGCACCTGAATAAGACCTGCAGAGTATAAAGCACATGCTCCTAACACTACTACTAACACTACCAACTAACTACTACTACTAACTACTACTAACTACTACTAACTGCAAACTAACACTGTCTCCTCAGTCAAAAGCAAAGACTAAGATTAAATTTGACCACAAATGCTAAAAGAAAACTGTTACCTTCTGTATATTAACCATTGACATACCATTTTACTAGAGAAGAAAGATCAGTACTTGAAAATCTATGCAACAGACTTATTATTTCTCACAGTTTTGAACTAATGAAGCATTTTCCCTAAGCAGAACCTTTAGATATATTCAGTATCTACACCCAGTGTTTGGTTTCTGCAATAGCAGTGTTAATATCAATTTGTGATTCCAAACCCCAATGGTGGTGAGGTGACCATTAAAAAATGATATCATGAGAAAGTTGGGTAGAGCTGAGTGAAGGAAGAATAAAGATGTAGTTAAAAAGGAAAAGGAGGTCTCAGTGTCTAATGTCTTAGGAGAAGAATCTTTTTTTCTTGCATGATGGTAAGATGTTATATTCTTACCACCTCTTGGAAGTGTGGAAGGGCTACCCATTCTCACATGATGCTCTAAAAGTCGTGTATGCTGGGGCACATGGGTGGCTCAGTCAGGTGAGCGTCCAACTCTTGATTTTGGTTCAGCACAGAGTCTGCTTGAGATTGTCTCCCTCTCTCTGTGCCCCCCCCCCACCTCTAAAATAAATACATAAATCTTTAAAATAAAAAGAATCCTGCACGGTGAAATGACGAGCCTCTCCACCTGTACCCAGGGACCTGACATTGTACTTAGCACGCTGTATTTCAAGCCCATTAGAACGGACTGCAAGCAAGGATTTGGGAATGTCCTTACAGAGCCGAGCCTCTGTTTTTTCAGCTTCTGCTTCTTTCAGGTGCTTTCCAAAGTTGCGGTTCCGCAGCTCTGTCATCATGCGCTCTGCTTCGGCCCACTCTCTGGAAAAATCCCCTGAAGGCAGGTTGTTTCCTTCCCCACTTGTCCCAGAGATCTGCTTCAAGAGAACTAGAAAACATTGAGCAGTTTATTAAACTGGGAATTCTGGACTCCAGTCGACTACTAAAAAACAAAAAAATACAGATTTTTATGGAGGGTTCATATCAGTTTTTTAGTGTCACTACAGGATCTTTTTCATAATGTTGAACTCTTAAGGAGAAATTCTTTCAGGGCACAGAACAGGCTATGTAATAAAAAAACATATTTAATTGGACTGAGTAACTCCTTACTGTGCACATTCTGGATGACATTTTTAATCTTTGTGTCCAGCTCTTTCGCGCTTTGGGTTGTCCGATCAACATTGTTGTGTAATGCTTGTGCTTTTCTAGAATTTACTTGAACCTATATGAAAAATACATTGATCAACATTGTTGTGTAATGCTTGTGCTTTTCTAGAATTTACTTGAACCTATATGAAAAATACATTGATTAGCAACAAACCATGTTGATGGGGGAATACAAACAATATTTTGGGGACAACAACAACAGTTAACATTATTGAGTTAACACATTACCTTTTCTTGCAAAGTTTCAAATTCGCGATTCAAACTACCCAGTTCCTTTCCTAGACCATCCATTTTTAATCCATGATTTGAAATGGCAGAACGGTAGGTGAGTAACTGATTCTGAAAGTAACATGCAAAGTTATTCTCACACTAGAGCAGAAATTTGGCATAAGTCCTATCCACTTGGCAATCCTGGTAATGATACAGAAAGATTCATTTAGCAAGCCCAGTGCTGGTCCACAGGAAAAAACTGGATTCTTTGAAATCAGCTACTTGAAGAATCTACTTTTTTTTTAAGATTTTATTTATGTATGTATTTATCTATTTATGAATTTAGAGATAGAGGGTGTGGGGAAGGGGCAGAGGGAGAGGGAGAGAGAGAATCTTAAGCAGAGTTGGTGCTAAGTGCAGAGCCCGACACGGGGCTCCAACTCACGACCCTGAGATCATGACCTGAGCCAAAATCAAGAGTCAGATGCCCAACTGACTGAGCCAAACAGGTGCCCCAAGAATCTACTTTATGACGCAAGTTGTGACAAGGTTCTAAAATAAACTTAAAAACAAAAGGAAAAAAAAAAAAAAAAAAAAAAAACATAAGGAGACAAGAGATACTTTACTTGAGTTAGTGACCTAACCTTAAAGAAATGAGGGTGGTACCACTGGTACCACCACCAGTCTGGATGTATTACTTTCCAGACTATAATACATTCCATTGCTTTTAACCTATATTCAACTTTATGAAACTAAAAGCAGTGCCTAAGGCTACTCTAATAAAGGACCCATTCGATTCAAAGAACCTAATGGCAGGAAGGGAACTGAGAGCTCATTTAATCAAATGCTCTCATATCACAAATGAGAAAATGGAAGCCCAAAGAAATTGGGTGACTTGTTCATGCCACAGCTGTAGGGCTGATCAGTGATTGCTTAGGGACCAGAATCCAGGTTCCCTGTCATTTTGTGCATTATTGCACATAATATCTAGAGTAGTGATTGTTTTCATTTTTTTGGAAAAAAAACTCGTTAATACCTTGAAGAAATGCACAGGAAAAAGCAATACTATTACCACCACTTGCATGTGAGAGAGCCAATGTTGGGGGGAAAACACAGGTTTTACAGCTTAGGTCCAAACCCGAGGTCTGCCGCTTTGTAGATAAGCCTCACTGAGTTTTAGCTCCTTCATCAGTAAATTGGGGAGTATAATATTAAGCTGCGGGGTTGTTTTGATGATATTGTAAAGGGTCACGTACACATGAACATTCAAAAATGTTATTCCCCTTCTCACACTTATTCCTAGGGAATTTTCACAGTGTATGTGTGATCTAGCAAGAAGATAGTTCTATTTTAATTCTACTATGGGAAAGCTGAGGCATATCATTATATATACCTGGATAAGTACAGTGGGTAAAGCGTGGTCTTTGGAATTTGACCTTGGTTCGAATTCTAGAACCACCTTGTACTAGCTGTGTGATGGTGGGCAAGTTACTTAGCTTTAACATGCCTGGTAAATGAAGATAACACTATTTTCCTCATAGGACATTGTGAGAATTCAATAAAGCACTTATCACAGAGTCTGGCTCATAAGGCCGGTACTAAAATGCTGGTTCCCTGTCCTTCACTGAAGAAGTGCAGGGTTATATTGATGACATCAAAGTGACTCCAGTGACTTCTTTTTCTCTCAAAACAAAATGGCCTTTTTCCTCTCTATATTAAGCCTGTAAACCATGGGCTAAAATTTACCCTGATGGAATGGAAAAGAGCCATTTTTCTAGCATGATTTTTTGCCATATAAAGTTCACCCTTGAACAACATAGGTTTGAACTGCATATGTCCACTTACAACTGGATTTTTTTTCAATAAATATTTTGGAAAATTTTTCGGAGATTTGTAACAATTTGAAAAAACTCAAAGATGAACCATGTAGCCTAGAAACAACAAAAAAAATTAGAATAAGTTAGGTATTATTATAAGAATACAGTATATAATACTGTATTGTGTTAATGTGGTAACTATTTTTGCTATTGCTAAGGCTTCTGGTCATCAGTAGCTTACTAATAGTTAAGCTTTTGAGGAATCAGAATTTATATGCAGATTTTCAACTGTGCAGGGGGTCAGGGCCTCAAACCTCCACATTGTTCAAGGGTCAACTGTATACTCAGTTATAAGCACTAATGGGTTTAGAATCAGCCATTTCAAGAGCACTTATTAAATTTTCCCAAAGCCTCTTTCACTATGTCTGGTTTAGGGTTTATCTCCTCTACTGAATTCTTTCACTTCAATGAGTAAATTTTTTTTTTCATTTCCATGATTTTTAACTGGATCTTTTCATATCTACCCCTCTTGTTTGGTTTCTAGTGTTTTTAACAATTTTCTAATTTCTGTTCTTTCGACTGAATTGTTATTCTTCAAAGTAATTTTCAGATTGTCTTAGGATTTTCATTTTATCTAGAGGGAACTCATCTCTTAATGGTTGCTTCTGTTGGATGTCTTTTGTGTTGATATTTGTCTATTCCAATGTCTGCGGTAAATATTGTCTCCCTTTCTCTCTGCACTCTCTGTGCCCTGACCAGTGATCTTAAGGTCATCACCACTCCCACCCATGATCCCCAAGGCCAGAACCAGGTCTTACATTGGCAGCTTAGGACTTGTACACTATGGTGATGTTGAGGATGTCACATTCCAGTACAGACCCTGGTTTGTGAATCATGTCCAGGTCTGTAGCTTTTCTAGTTTCTCATATACTCATTGCTCAACAATGAACACTGGGCGTTTCAAGGTTTTTTTGTTTTTTTTTTTTAAGGTTCCATTCATAGGAGAAGTGCCCTCAGTTTCCCCCAGGGAGCCTGACTCTGGCTCTGTGGGGCACTTCAGGCCCTATTGCTTCTCCTCTTGGATATCCTCTGGGCCACCTTCTTTCCAAGTGCACATAGAATATTGTCCCAGATGAATCATATCCTGGGCTATGAAACAAACCTCAACATATTTTTAAAAACTGTAATCATATAAAGTATGTTCTTTGAACACAATAGAATTAAATTAGAAATCGATAACAAGAAGTTACCTGGAAAATGCCCAGTTTGGAAATTAACCAACACATTTCCAAATAATTCAGGGGTCAAAGATATGTCATAAGGAAATTAGAAAATCTTTTGAATTGAACAAAAATGAAAACACAACACTTCAAAATGTGTGGAATATAGCTGAGGTAGTGCTTTGGGGGAAATTCATAACATTAAATGCTTATATTAGAAACAAGAAAGGTTTGAATCAGTAAGATAAGATTCATCTCAAGAAATTAGAAAATGAATAGCCAATTAAACCCCAAAGCAAGCAGGAGGAAGAAAAAATATAAAAAAACAGCAGAAATCAATGAAATCAAAAACAGAAAAATAATGGGGAAAGTCAATGAAATAAGATCATTAAAACTGATAAACCTCTAGCCAGAATAATCAAGAAAAAGAGCTAAGACATAAATTATCAATATCAGGAATGCATGAGAGGATATTACTACAGGATTTTGCAGATATTAAAAGGATAAAATGGAAAAACTATGAACAGTTTTATGTCAATACATTTGATAATTTAGATGAAATGAAAAAATTATTTGAAAGGCACAAATTACCAAATATCACTCAAGAAGAAATAGATAACCCCAATAGTCCCATATCTATTTTTTTAAAGATTGGACTTATGGTTTATTGAAAAAAAAAAAACTCAAAAAACAAAAAAAATCTTCCAACAAAGAAAATCCCAGGCCCACAGGCTTTCATTGGAAAATTCCAATCAAACATTTAAAGAATGAATACCAATGTAATACAAATCTGTTTTCGATTCTTCTGAATGCAAGATACTTAGCTAAGGGTTCTAGAAGAAAAATTAGCCCAGAAACATGCAGTAAGTAAAGAATGTTCACTTAGAAGCATCAGTTTTGTGTGTTCACTAGTACTTTCCAGCAGTAAAAATCTAGTCATCATTTGGATCAAAGGAACGAAAGCCCCCTGAGCCTTAAACAGTCAACATCTCCCCATCTCCTGCTTGAGGGGTACTCATGCATGCAGCATCTATCCACCAAGGAGCTATTCTGGGCCTGGCATTTGTGCTGGGTGCCCAGGGTATTTACCCTCAGGTCCTTGATCTGGGTCTCCAAGTGTTTCATCTGCTCCAGAGAGCCAGTACTGGCACTCAGGCCGTGCAGCTGAGACTTGACCAGGTGGAGTTCATCACCCATGGTGGCCAGGTCGTTCAAGAGTGTCATCACACAGCTGTCACAATCTGTAGGGGCCACAATCAAAGGCAAACGTGCTGCAGGCTGGTGCCCCAGGAATGCTAACAGAACACAAAAGCTGTACAGCCCAGTCAATATGCACAGAGGACATGACAGGCAAAAATCACAATCCTGGACGTCTTGGTAGGGATGCAGATTCTGCAAAAGAGAGATCTCTAGACGGGGAGCATTTTAAAAAGAAGTGGTGGAGTGGGGGAAATGGGTAAAGGGAGTCAAAAGGCACAAACTTCCAGTTATAAGATAAATAAGTCCTGGGGATGTAATAATGTACAACAGGGTGACTATAATTAACAACACTGTATTGTATATTTGGAAGTTGCTAAGACAGTCTGTCTTAAAAGTTCTTATCACTAGAAAAAAAATTTGTTTAACTATGTGAGGCTATTAACTAAACTTATTGTGATAAATCATTTCACAATATATACAGATATCAAATCATTATGTGGCACACTTTAACACATGTTGCACATCAATTATATCTCAATAAAATTGGGAACCATGGTGATTCTATGCAACATGTTACTGATTTTGTATGTGGAAAAATAATAATAAATAGCTTTTATTTGTCAAGAGCTTGCCATTTACCAGGCACTGGGATAAGAGATTTATCAGCATTTTCCCAGCAAATCTGTGAGGTACGTATAGTTATTATGTCCCTTTTACAAACGATGAAACTGAGGCTTGGAGAAATCAGGTCACTTTGCCCAGGGTCACACAGCTATGAGTTGACAGAGGCCGGACTTGACCCTAAGAAGTCCTCCCCCCACTTCCTCCCACCATTGCTTTCCCAGCCTGGAAACTGCACGTCCCTGCACGAGGCTCACATATCTTAAACTAAACCCCACAAGTCAGAAAGGAGAGGGGGCCTTCTTTTCTCACCATTACATTCTTCTCCAGGGCCGCTATCTTTGGGCTCTTGGTTTATACAGTCTGCAAAGAGGGATAACCAAAGAAGATATTATTATTAAATTTCTGCTTCATCTGCTTTTTAACTTGGCTTTCAGAAAAGCTAGTTTGGGAAGATTCGTCACCCAACTATGCAGCATCGCTTGCTCTTCCCTTTTCCCTTCTTTAACCATAACATTGTTCTGGGAGCTTTCCCATCTCCCACCAGTCTTGCTGCAGGAACTTCTCTCGTGATCTCCCTGACTATATATTCAGTTTCTTCTCTAAAGGGTCATGATATTTTTACCTCATTAAAACCCTTAATCATTAGTGTTAAGGCTTTCTTTATTTGATAGCTTCCTATATAACTGTTGACATCTCTCCCAGTGGCATTCAAGAACATTCAATAAACATTGACTGAGCACCTTTGGGCGTCCACGGTGTGCCATGGTGTTGTGCCACATACAGGAAATACAAAGCTACTACGACAAAAATCCCTGCTGTCGTGTAGTTCCCTGGTCCCATGGGAGAGGCAGAAAAATCACACAACAGTGAGAGACATATGCACACAATGTTAGTGGACCCACACGGCTAATTACCAGAGATCTAAGCTAGATTTGAGGTTCTCAACTGTAGTCAGGAAAGCCTACTGGTCATCCTTGGACACTCTTTGTTCTTTCCATTTCTACTCTTTCTCCCATACCAGGCACCGTTACAATGAACGGTCCTCTCCCCTCCCTCTAGAAAAATAATCTTAACTTCACCACAGGAAATCTCAAAGCTTGAAATTTTCCTAGACATGCTACAAGGAGACTTTCGTGTTTTGTCTTCTCAGCAGCAGGCAATAATCCACACTTTGTGTGTATATACATATATTTTAAACCACATTTATTTTTAATTGTAAAATAAATAATGTAAGTTCACCATGGAAAATTTGGGAAAATCAGAAAAATAATATAAAGACATCACCTTTGATCCCACCACTCAAAGACAATGTCTCCCTTCTATATATTTGTAGACTTTTAAATTTATCATATATATATAATCATAGGTTTTTCTTACTCATCCTTTTTTTAAACTCATTATTATGTGTATGTATTGTTACGTCACTTCCATTTTCTCGATTAGACTATAAATGCCTTAGGGCCAGGAAACATGATTTTATTTTCTTCACAATCTCCCACAGCATCTCGAATAGTCTAGGGGGGACTTGGCTCATGCAGAGGATTGATTTATCAGTGCAATTTTCTCAACAAGTTTGAGTTTTTAGGTTATTAATTAAAATATGAGTTTTAGGTTATTAATTAAAAGAAAAAGAAAAAATGAAAAAGAGAAAGAAAAAAAGCTCGCAGGAACAAAAAGTCTCATGTGCAAGCATTTTGTTCCATTTGGGAAACACAGAGTAGTCCTCACTTCAGGCTGCTTTCGTTGTTGTTGTTGCTGTTGTTGTTGTTGTTGTTGTTGTTACAGTAGGAAACAAAGAGGGTTGAAAAGATACTAATCTCATGAATATGCTGTGTGTGATATGGAAGCTTCTCTTTGAATAACTCCAGTCACAGTAGAAACTCATTTTTTCTAAAACAGTCCTTTTCATCTTTAAACCCCTGACACGTCTTCCTTAGGATGATTTAAAGTAGATCTCCCTCTAGCTTCCACTCCTTGGGTTCTACCTCTTATGCCACATGAACAAAACCAACCTTTCTCCCACACATTAGCCTTTCAAATACGTCCTTTCCAAGTCTTCATGGTCCCGGTTTGTTGACCCTTCATGTGACGTGGCTCTGAGTTTTTTCAAAGTCTTACCCTCTTTCTGAACAAACTGTAGCTTGTCTACTGTCTCCTAGAGACATAAGCCTCAAATGAGGACTTACATGAGCAGCATACCAGGGAACGGCAGACCACCTGGTTTTAGACTAAGATCATATGAGGCGTCCGTCCTAGGGGCCACCTTACTCTCCTGAGCCATATTGAACTTGGGGCCAATTAAGACCTCAGTCTTTTTCACCTTTTGCCACTAAGCCACATCTCCCTCATCACACACTTATTTTTATGCCATTCAATTATAGGACCACGTGCTTATCCCTAACATAATGGTATCTTGTTAGCACTGGCCCATCGTTCCAGACTGTTGAGTCCCTTGAGTATTCTAAATGTGCCATAGGAGGCATTTTCTGTCTCTCCCAACTTTGTGTCATCTGATAACTGGATGAGCATGCCTTTTATATTTCCATTTAGGTCAACAGTGTTGAACAAGATGGAGCCAAGAATTAAGTCCCAGTGCATGTCAATAGATAACTCATTCTAGACTGATAATAATCCATTTACTCTACATTCCTTTGGAACAGTCACTTGAACAGATCTAATCCACACATTCTGCGTTTAGTTCTTCATCCTGTCCATAACCATAAAATAAGATGTTTAATCTAAGGTTTGGCATTAGATATATCCATGATATTTTCTTGGCAAATCATGTTAATATTCTCTGTCAAAGAAAGAAGAAAACCATCTTCCTTTTTCTTCCAAGTTGTTCCTAATGAACCCATACTAACTCCTAGTAATTGTCTTTTCCTTGGCATGTGAAATCCATCCCAGCTATACCACCCACATCCCAGACATTTACTGCTATCTGAGAAAGAATGTGTTGACTTCTTTAGTTACACACATGAAGAAAACTGATGTGATGATAAGCTTATAATGCCAAGGGAGACCTTAGCAAAATCACCAAAGTAGGAGTTGAGGTTAGTTTGGCTATAATTAGTTGAGTTTTAAAACAATTTATCTTTTTTAAAAAAGCTGACTTGAAGTAAGTTATTTACCAAACTGTAAATACTACCTAAGCATTCCCAAGGTTGTCAAAACAAGGAGACAATTGACAATTTGTTCACTGGACTTGTGTATTATGCCTCCTGGAAATCTGTGCCAGGGTTCCTCGCCTGCTATTTTATACCACACTGATAAACGCAGGGTTACAAAGGTGTCAGTCCATCTTACCTCCAGTCAGGGGGTGACAACTGCCCGACTGGCCATTGCTGTTACAATTGCATGGTTGGCAGCTACCTCCAAGCTTCTGGGGATTCCCAAAATATCCTGGTGCACACCTAACCCAAAATAAAGAAGAAGTGGAGAAACACCCAAAGAACGCATCATTTGTTCCATCCAATTTTCTTCACCTTCTAACTCCCTGTTTGGGACACCGTAACCCCATGACAGAGCGGCTGACACTGACTTGCAGGAATGAATGTGTCTCAATACAGAGATACTTATGACTTGAATGAGAACAGAGAAAGTGGAAGGAGGGCAGAGCTTGGTCCCTCCTCCTTGATATCAGCACAACAAAATCCTCAATTACCCCTAGAGTTGAAGGGCAAATGAACAAAATACACACAGGATCCAGTGGTTTGACCAATATGGAAATCAGGGGTGGATGAATTTTATGCAAGAGTTATGTTCCTGAGGATATCACACAATGAAATATTGCTTACTTTATGGCTAATTTCCTCAAAGAAAAATTTAAAGTAAAATTCATATAATTTCAAAATTTGTTCCAAAGGGGATTTTATTAATATTTCCTACTGGACTATTTCAAGCCTGCATAATCCATATTTGCACTAATTAATTGCTGCGGTGCTGTATTTAACCACCTTAAACAACTGAGAGCAGTTACAGTGCCTACCCTTGGCTTGGAGCCTTTATTATTCTAGATAATTTAGTGATGAGAACTCAGTTCCATATCTAAGTTAAAAGACATTTCCTTGATTCTGAGTTTCTATTTAAAAAAAAAATGACAAACAGGGGCGCCTAGGTGGCACAGTCGGTTAAGCATCTGCCTTTGGCTCGGGTCATGATCTCAGGGTCCTGGGATAAAGCCCTGCAGCAGGCTGCCTCCTCAGTGGGGAATCTGCTTCTCCATCTCCCTCTGCCCCTCCCCACGCTCGTGCTCTCTCTCTCTCATAAATAAGCAAAATCTTAAAAAAACAAAAGACACATGTTAATCTTCTGGAATTGGGATGGAAACTAAAATATTTCCGTCTATTAGCAAAGTTCCACACCCACTCTATCCCCCCCAAATTGTCATTAACTCGATGTGTGTGTGGTATCTTATCATCAATGGAATTGACAGAATCAAAAGAATATGGTATTTGACTCTCTTCCCCAAATTTAAGCTTTGCATCAAAGAACTGTTAGGTAATTTACACAGGCTTCACCAATGGGGACACTGGTGATACAGAGCAAAGGGCACAGGCTCTCAGTCTGGGAGATCTGGCTGGACCCCCACCTCCACCATGTGCTGTGTAGCCGTGGGCTGTCATCTTCACCCTTCAAGCTTTGGTTGCCTTCATCTACTCCTGTCATGAAAATGTAAACTCCACAGGGGCATGGATTCTCTGGCTGATACATCGCTAGCACCTGGGAAAGTGCCTGCGCCCGGATTAGGTGGCAGGTAAGTAATATGCAGAAGGAATAAGTGAATAATTGCACTAACAATACCTGTTCTGATGGATGAATATGAGATAAAAATGTAGTGAAGAATCTAATACAATGCCTGCCCATAACAGACACTCAATAAAAAGTAGCTACCATTTTAAGACATGATGAAATATTCATGTATATATGCATCTATATATAATTAGTATCATTTGGAATTATTACATTTCAGAAAGTAGACCAGAAGCAGAAAACCCATGTATTCCCTAATTATCAAGAAGGTAACTATGCAGAGACGGCTTATCTAAGTCTACTGAGCAAGTTGGCGTAAGGCTTTCCTTTGTGTGACAGGCCCCGTATTCTACTTAACAAACCTTCCTATGCAAAAGATCTATGTTTGGTTTTTTTTTAAGATTTTATTTATTTATTTGAGAAAGAGGTAGTGAGAGCGACAGAGATGACATGAGTGGTGGGGGGGAGAAGCAGAGGAAGAAGGAGAAGCAGACTCCCTGCGGAGCAGAGAGCCTGACACGGGGCTCCAGCCCAGGACCCTGGGATCATGACCTGAGCCGAAGGCAGACGCTTAACCGACTGAGCCACCCAGGCGCCCAAAGATCTATGTTTTAAATACTTTATTTTTAGATGGCTCACCTATATCTAAACTTTCCACGTAAAAGATACATAATTACAAAATCCTTCAAATTTAAGTCACATAAATACTCAGGAAGTTTGATTCCAACTTTTCCTTACTCTTGCCAAAAGCGTTAATTACCCATTACAGAAATAACTGGTTCCCTTATTCTCATTTTAAGGGAGTGTCCAAATGCAATGGACTGAAGTGAAACTTCCTGATTTCCTAGATGGCGTTGGGACAACAAATAAAGAGCAGAGAACATATTTGTCGTCTCTGGCTCTGAGGGGCCGAGGGAGAAACGTGCCCCAGAGGACAGTGTGAGCTGGGAAGCCCTTCCTACCCCAGTCCTCGAGTGGCTGCTCCCTCCTCTGCCCCGCCGGCTCCTGCTTATACTTTCCCTTTCACCCTATCCTGTCCCGGTACCTACTGTGGCATCGCTAACGACTAGTGCCAGGATGATGCCTGGCACAGAGCAGGTCCTCAAGAGATGTTTAACAAATGAAAAAATTTGACATTAATAGGGCATTTACCTGCGGAAAAGTTTTTTTTTTTTTTTTTAAATTAGGAAGCACTCGTTTGCTTTCCTGAGACAGCAAATGTAACAAACATAAGCCGTGAGAACTGTTAATTAAGAATTTCTCTTCTCAAATCTGTGGCCTGCCAAACGGATGTCTCAGCCGGTCTGTTGCCGCTTTCTGCTTCGTTGTTTGTGAAGAACCGTAAGGAGGATTACACTAGGATGCCTCTCCCAGGTGGGAGTCTCACAGCTTTTCAACCGCAGAGCCTGGAAGAAACTTCCCATCGTCTATCCCACCCACCATCCTTCCTGCCTCAGTATAGCCGCCCCTTCCGTCCCTCAACCTCACCCCTCGAGGCTGGTTGGAGACCCCTCCCACAGCAGCCCCACCCAGCCCGGTCACGGTCCTGTTCTTGGTCACTGTTTCAGCAGCTGGTTTGTGTACCTGCCCGCCTCGGGACTGTACAACCTGGAGGGCAGAGTCTCTGCCCCAGCTGCTACCCTCTCTCTAGTGCTTAGTCCAGCGCCAGGCATATACTAGGATCTCCATACATTTTTCACTGAAAGAAAGAATGAATAATAGACGTGAGGCAATTGTGGGCAATGTTCCTCCTGCGGAAATGGAAACTAGAACCTTGAAATTGCTTCTTTTTATCACAGGACAGTGCCCAGCCCCGAAGCTGACGCTCAGGGATCCCCATGATAAGGCAGTCTGCCCCCTTCCTCCCATGCCAAGTATCCCAGAGGCCCGTGGGTTTTCTTGCCATACTTCACTGACTTGAGCCACCTTCCAGCCCCACCGGGCTCTTGATATCCCTTAGATCTACCTAGGTCCCACGCTGTCCATCAGATGTCTCAAATAACCCGAGTCTAGAGTGGCCCTGCCTTCTTCCTATGAAACCCAGCTGAATACGTTTCCTGGTTATTGAAATTAGGTAAAACTCTTCGAAAGTTTATCCAGGAAAATAACATGCCAGAATGGCCGAGGAAAACATTTTAAATAAGGGTTATGGGGGAAGCCTTGCTCAACCAAATATCGAAAGGCATTTTATACTTTCAGAAATGACATGGAAATGATCATGGCACAAAGATCAAATAAAATGTACAGAAACGAGTCTGAGTTCATGTTGAAATTCTGTAAATGCACACTGACCTTTAGTGAATTCAACCCCATGCACTTGACAAGAGAGAGACAGGCAGGGGGAGAACAAGAGGGTGACAACGTGAGAGGAAGGGAGGGGAAAGCTGCCCCATTTACTCCGTGCGCACCCATCCTGCAGTGAGTGCGACATGAGGGCTGGGAGTCTGCCACGCCCCTAACTGGCCTACTTTCCTTGTGCCTCCCCTAGTGTGAACATCTCACCCTACTGCGTTCGGCTCTGGGATGCAGCCGATCGCTATGTGTATTTCATGCAGCCTGGGCCCCGGGTCATGGTGATGGGATCCTGGGATAGTCAGAGTTACTTGGACCCTGGCCCATTCTGGCTGTACATGTCGACCCTAACTCTACCTGCCATGTGAGATGCCATGACACCACCAAAAGGCCAGCTTCCAAACTGTTACCAACATGAAGAAATAAAACCCTAAAAGTACTAAAAAACTGCATAAACATGTTTATAACCTCCCGAAGCATAACTCCATTGACTGACTGCCTGAAGAATACAAGAATAGATACATATAATGAAACAGAAAGCCAAAAAAAAAAAAAAATCATACAAACAAAAAACAAACTGAGAAAAATATCTGCAACATATAGTATGAAAGGTTCACCTCTTTCCAAAGAATTTGTACAAACCAATAAAAAAAAAAAAAAAAGAAGAACATTCCACTAGGGAAAAAAAAATAAAATGAGTTAAAAGACCCAGAAAACGATCCAAAAAATAAGAACTACAAATGGTCAATAAGCACATGAAAAAAATCCAATCTAATTATTAAAAAAAGAAATGCAAATTAAAATGATACACACTTGCCCCCAACAAACTGGCAAATATTTTAAAATTTGATCATTTTGGGCACCTGGGTGGCTCAGTTGTTAAACGTCTGCCTTCGGCTCAGGTCATGATCCCAGGGTCCAGGGATCGAGCCCCGCATCGGGCTCCCTGCTCCGCGGGGAGCCTGCTTCTCCCTCTCCCACTCCCCCTGCTTGTATTCCTGCTCTCGCTGTCTCTCTCTCTCTGTCAAATAAATAAATAAAATCTTTAATAAAAAATAAAATTTGATCATTTCTAGTGTCACTGGCAGCAGCGCTTGCTCCTTTGCTACTGGTAGGAATAGAAACAAGGATGACTTTTCTGGAGGGCAATTTGGCAAAATGTATCAAAAGCCTGAAAAACGCACCTATCCTTTGATCCAAGGGACCCACTTCTGTTAATTATATCTTGAGGATTTATGCACACAAATAATTCGCTGCAAGGATTTACTTTTAGCGCTGCTTTGAATGGAAAACAGTAAAAGTATCTCAAAGACCAGCAGTAGATTCCAGAACTTCTTGGTTCTGACACAATGTTATCAGTGAATACACTGATATGGAAAGACAGTGCTACCCTTCCACTAGATGAGAAAGCAAGTCGAAACAGAAAGTAAAATGACAATCTACTCTTGTTTTTAAGAAAACATCTGTGCACACAGATTGATTAGTAAGAATATACAAGTTTTAACTGGGGTTTTCCGTAAATAAAATGACTATAAGTAGGATTATGTAAGCATGCACAAGTATATAGGGCTACAGAGAGGTGTAGTGGGCCTCCCATCCAAGTACTAACCAGGCCCGACCCTCGTTGGTTCTTTGCTCACCTGTATTATATCATTTTTATAAGTATGTATTGATTTTATGATAAAGTTATTTTAAATTTAATATGTTGTCCATATGATTCAAATGCTATACTGTTACTTTTTCAAATATGTATGTGCTATCTTCCCCAGGTAGACTGTGAATACCTTTTATAGCCCTTATGATGCTTGGCAGTGCCCTATGTATGGTAGCTATTCATGAAAATTTATTCCTGAATAACTAAAGCTTGGCTCCACGGCCCTTCATAATTAAGTTCATAGTTTCCATTTTGCAACATTTATTCTTTTGTTTCATTACTGAACACCTGTTACATGAACAGTGCCATAGTAGGCAGTAGTGATTCAGAAATGAATGCCACAGACTGTCCTGCAGGTGTTCATAATGGGTGGGGATAGAGAAGAGATGATGTGTAGGGATAGGTGTGTGTGTGTGTGTGTGTGTGTGTGTGTGTGTGTGTGTGTGTGTGTAGGAATATTTAGGGCTGTGGATATGTGTGTGCATATAGGAGTATGACGAGTTGTGTGTGTGTGTCCAGGCAAGTAGGGATGTATGTGCGGTAGGGGTGTCCAGGCAAGTAGGGATGTATGTGGGGTAGGGGTGTCCAGGCAAGTAGGGATGTATGTGGGGTAGGGGTACGTAGGGATGCATCTGTAGGGCAAGGAGTATGTAGGGATGAGTTTCTATGAAGCTAGGGCTAGGTAGGGATATGTGTGCCAGGAAGGGATATATAAGGACACGTGTGTGGTGGGTGGGGATATGTAGGGATGTGTATAGTGGGGTAGGAGTATGTAAGGAAGAATTTCCATGAAGGTAGGGGTAAGTAAGGACACGTAGGGGGTATAAGTCTGTAGGGATGTGGAGGGGGAGGGGTACGAGGGAGTGTGCAGGGGGATAAGAGTATGTAGGGATGTGTGTTAGGGGTACATAGGGCTATGATATGTTGGGCCTCATTCTCAAATTTCTGAAACATGTGAAAAGAAAGAGAAGGAAGTTAATGATTTATTAAGGAGCAGTCTTGTATTTTTCCCTAGGGACCTTTTTCCAGCCTCAGTGAACCAAGAGCCCCACCCAGCTCCAAGCCCCGACCCAGCAGGGCCCCACCCAGAGCCCAAGCCTGCTGCAGCCTGACTGCAGAGCCCACCCTCCCTGGGAGCTGGGGGGATGAGGGAGGCGAGGGGTGGGAGTGGGGGGAGGGGCTGTACCCACCTTTCGCACTGTGTGCCTGTGTAACCAGGTTTGCAGAAGCACCTCATGTTTCCCCCATTCACAACACAGCCAGTGGCAAAACTTGAAGGAAGACAGAAAAAAGCCTCAGTAAAAACATAAATCGATATGCTTCCTGCTCATTATTTTTTTGCCACAAAGCACTGACTTGCGTTAAGTGGAAATAGACATCAAGAGTCTGGTTGCTTTTTATGTGAAGAAAACTGTGTCCATTAAGACTCGTATAGATAATGATGTACTATTTCAGCTCACATCGGGCGTATCTTGGTAGGTAAATAAGGACTGAAGGCATTATCTGGTTTTATTTTTGGCTTAGAGAAATACATTCCTTCACTTGAGACAAAGCAAGGTAACTCACTTTGGAAGAGATGATTAAACAGCATTTTTTCCAGGAATAACAAGGAAGGAATAAAACAAGTCTAGGCAGAAAAAAAGAACAGAGAGTTCTGATTCTTCAAAAAATTTTCCTCCTTGTTTGTTCTAGTTCCTTCATATTGGGCATATTATCTCCGAGAAAGAAAAAGGGCCAGGACAGAGGGACCAAGGTACAGAGCAGGCTTGCCCCTCTAGGTATTTCTGTGGGCACAATCATTGGTGATTTTTACATTTTTCAAATCAAGTTGTGGCATTCTGATTCTCTCTTTTCATCCTAAACTAGTGCATATTTGAGAAGCTTTCTTTTTTTTAAATTAAGTAAGCAGATCATGAAAAAACTGTTGCCTTGGGAAATGTCTATGAACATTACACTGAGTAAATCTGAGGGAAAATAACTCCATTTATCATTTGCTGATAAGAGAATTTTTATCTAGGAAGCTTCTCTTGGCCTAATAGATGGATAGAGTTATACCTCTAAAGGGACAGTTAGAAATTCGTCAACAGTACGAATATCGCTGGAGGGAAAATTAGTGTTTTCATTGATAAATGATAGTGTTTCATTGATAAATCTGAGGAACTGTGCGTTACTTCGACTTCATGAAAGCCAGCCTTCGTGATAACAATACGTTTTGCAACCAAAGATGAAAAGCTTTCCCCGAGCACCCCATGAAAATCTTGTTTCTAATCCCTCTGGCTTCTGTTCCAACAAGTCTAGGCAAGTATCAAGTGATAAATCCCTTTGCAAATAAAGCCACAGGACTGGGCAGGTTTAAGGAGTATCAAATACACAGAGAGCAAAGCAGGGTGCACATTTCAAATACACATCTTCAGAAAAGCCACAGCTGGGCAGTGACTTCTGGCAATGTTGCCAATTTGTCGGATACTGGCCTGATATTAATCAGCCTTGTGGTCTGCACTTGTTCCTGAGCCAGTGTGCTGCCCATACTCTTCAAGGTAGCTTCCTGACTTTCAAATCAACTCTTGCTTCGTTTAGTTACATGTTATATTTTGCTTGGACCCACCGCGAACGTGTCACAATGAGCAAGAATAGGACAAGGTACCAAGCCCAAAAAGAATATGAGTTACCATGAAATATAAGTGGCAGGCTGCAAGCTACGTAATGTATCTGCCGTGCTGGAGTCTGAATGACAACTCAGGTCACATCACTCTGTGGCTCAGGACTGGCCTGTGGCTTCCATCACACTGAGGATAAATCCGGTGTCTTACTAGAGCCTGCGAGGTCCTATGGGGTCTGAACCCTGGGTGCCTTGGCCCCCTTGCCTCCTGGCCCTCTCTCCCACACAGCGCTCCAGCCACCTCCTTACTCCACGAACACATCATCACAGGGGCTGTCTCCTGTCTTTTTCTTGCCTCAGATCCTCATTGCTGAGATACTGCCCAGTTTATTCCATTTCATTGTTCCCTGGTCCTTGCCCAGAGAACCCTCCTACTCCTCTGTAAAGAGTCTGCTCACTCGCTACCAATCACATAACCCTGTTATCAACTGCATAGCCCATCTCTATCTGAAATTATGCTTATTTATTTGTGAATTTACTTCCTGAGTGGGACAACCGCCTCCACCCACATTCTCCAGGTGAATCCTCATGAGATCAGAGACTTTGCCAGTCTTCTTTACTTTAGTTGCCCCAGCACCTAGAGAAGGCTAACTCCCAGCCCTGTATTGGGTGCTCAGTAAATAATGTTTAGCCATTGAATGAAGAGTGAAAGGAAAGAAGAAAAGGAAAAACGCACAAATGTACACTTGAAAAAACTGTTCTTGTTGGTTTTGCTTTTGTTTTGCATTTTTGTGTGTTCTTTTTAAAATATAACTGCTTTATTGAGCTATAATTCACATACCATGCCACTCGCCCATTTTGAGTGTACAATTTGATGGCGTTTAGTAGATTCACAGAGTTGTACAAACTGTCAGCATGATCAATTTTAGAACATTTTCATCACCCCAAAAAGAGATCCCACACCTTAACCACCAAACTACTTCCTGTCTCTACTGATCATTTTCAAGCTCCCATTAGTACCTGTTTGAATGAGGACACAGGCAGACACTACAGGACCCCTGGATGGCATTCCCATAGTGACCCTCTCTGCAGCGCTCACAGTGTTCTCCCGCAGTGTTGTGCTGGCAGTTCTTGGGACAGATGAACATACAATTAATAGCAGCCGATTACATTTATTATTATTAACATCATTATCACCTTCATTACTCACACAATTATAACTCAAATCCTCTGACTTGGTACGGTGATATCAGTCCATGAATGGTATATTTTTCCTGTCTATTCAATTATTGTTGGTGCTAAAAAAAAAATGTAAGTAAGTGCCCTTCCATCAGCTATTTGGTGCTTGCATCGGGAGGATGAAATGGAGGTAGACCAGCTGGATCCGAACTCAACGCCAATGTTTCATAGCTGTGCTGTCTTGGGCAAGAATCTTCACCTCTCTGAGCCTCCGTGTTTTTTACAAATCAGTTTTATAGATGTATGATTTACATACATCTATAAAATGATGGCAAAGGATGAAGGGCAAAGAATTCTAATTCTCTTAAGATGTATAGTTGAAATAATACCCATGTTCCAAGGTTGCTGGGAGCATTTTAAAAAGTATACTAGAGCCTCAGCAAAATGTAAACCCCCTTCCTCTCCCCCTAAGAATAGCTTCTATGGAAATTAACTTGATATTGCTTTGTAATTCACTTAATGGTGATATACTAAAGAGGAATATAGTTGCAGTAAGTTTTTAACATGTGGAATTTGTTAAAACAATGAAAAGCTGCACCCTATCTGAAGAAAGCCCTCAGTTTAATTCCAGTGTCTCAAACAAGCAAGATAAGTTTATCTACATTGTGTGTTTACATAAATCCAATTATTTTCATGTCAGAGTCAAAATCTGTTGGAAGTTGTTCAATAAAGCATTGAGATGAGACAACTTTTCAACTGAACAGTCCAATGGGACAAATCCTAGCAAATTGTATCAAATTTATTTTGTGGAATTTTTAGCCCTGTGTGACATTTCTTGGTTTTACTCTAGTGATAAATATCTAAATGAACAAAACTATCCAGGAAAACTCCCCTTACTATGGGCGTTCGAAAATGCGGAGATACTCTGTGTTAATTATATGGCCTGGAATAAGTATAATATTTTAAAAATTGCTCATAAATCTTACCTCTGTATGTAGAGATGGGGCTTGGTAGGAAACTTTAATGGATGTGAGTTTTCAATAATATCTGAAGCCAGGTTGCAAGAAACAACCCACACGTATATCCTAAGTGGGTGTGGTCCCGCTCAGAATGTGAAGCTGCCCTTTCTCATCATGTCATCAGTTTCTTTATCTTAAACAGATCCGTCTTTCACAAACCTTTGAATAACGGCCAATTACACAAGCCACTAAGATGTTAAGAGATCTTTTCATATCTTTTCTAGATATGAAATCGTGCTGTACACACAAGGGAGGCTGCTCACCGATTAACATGGGATCATCACCAGAAAGCTCATCCCCGCCCGGAATCCTTCCCTCTTTCCCCAAATGTCCCCACCATGGAGGTTTCTCCTATAGGCCTGGAGGCTAGGAACAAATCCACGCTGCAAGTGCAGATCCACAGAGGGGTCTCTCCTTCACCTTGTTCCACTGTCCTCATTTGCTCACAAAACAGTCATTCTTTTGAACCAATTATTTACCTCTCCACTTTAGTTTCCTTTCTTTTTAACTCTAAATGGCAATCTTAAGGAAGAATATAGCTGCTGAATAGATATATGTTAATCCTATATCTATTTAGTTCTGAGCTGACAACACTGGGACCCAGCAAGGACGTGGAGAAACAAGAATTGAGATGTGGCCATCTGTGACCTACCGGAAACGCCCTGAACCCTGGTCCTCCTCAGGACTGGGGAGATGACTGTAGAAAGGGGTGAGAACCTGTGTTGCTTGATAAGGTCCCATAAGAATGTCTGAAATAGGGTGCCTGGGTGGCTCAGTTGGTTAAGCAAGTGCCTTCAGTTCAGGTCATGATCCAGGAGTCCCAGGATCGAGTCCTGCATAGGGCTCCCTGCTGAGCAGGGAGTCTGCCTCTCTCTCCGACCCTCCCCTCTCTCATGCTCTATCTCATTCTCTCTCTCAAATAAATAAATAAATAAAATATTAAAAAAAAAGAATGCCTGAAATACCCCCACCCTCAGTTGAGAGCATCTACCCTGGAAGATGTCTTTCTCAGTCCTGCAAAATTGAGACATCTGCCTATCAAGTTTCCTTGTGGTTTACTGTGAATGAATGAATGGATGAATTAATGAATGAGTCTACATCCACTCCCACAGCATGTGCTCTCCTAGCTCCATCTGACACCAAACATCCATTGGGCATTTACTATGTGTCCACCCATGCTAAGTACCATGATGCAAAGATGGATCAGCACCCCGACCAGGGGGCAGACAAACCCTGCGAGTGGACACGTTCAATATAATGTGGAAAATATGATGACCAACGTGTGCCGGCACCTCATAAGAGCAAGAGGAACCTCCAGGAAGAGCTTCTGGAGGTGATGATGCCTCCTGCGTGGAGGAGAAAAGGAGAGGAATTGGCTGGGTAGAGAAGGGAGGGGAGGGCCCACCAGACATGGGGAACAGTGTGCACAGCAGCTCAGTCTTGCAGGAGCCTAGCAGTGTATGTAGGCAACGTGAAGCAACTGTTATCCTGGAGGGTGAAGGGCAAAGCGGGGCTGGATGCAGCTGGATGCAGCCCGCACCGGGGAGTGTGGACATCTGGCCGTGAGCCTCAGGGGAGCCCTGTGTCGGCTGTGAGCCTCAGATAAGTCATGCTGTGGGCTCAAGGGGCAGGGAGTAAAAAATGAAGGAAAACCAAAGGCAGAGGAAGGGACACGGGAACAGAGAAGTAGATGAGGGGTGACAGAGACAGTGGAAGGTGAAGGGAGTAGGGGAGAGGTGGAGATATGGGGAGAAAGCTGGCAAGGAGAAGAGGGAGAGGCAGGGCCTCGGCGAAGAGAAGAGGCCTGTCCCTGCAGGTCCTCAGGGCCGACAGCGCCCACGCAGCACATGACCTGCTGCTCCTGGACGCACACAGCTTTGCTGGCAAGGACCCAGGCGACTTTCTTTCCAACTTCAAAGTTTGTTCTTGAAACAACATGGAGATTTGTGCATGTGTGAAGGTCCCAGATTTCAGAAATTGACTTTGGACGTTGAGCAGTGAAGGCCAGTCTGCAGAGGACCCAGCCCACTCGATGGTGACAAGTACTTGGTCTCGTCATTCCTGTTCTTTGAGAATGAGGGCTGCATCCTTGGCTCCCATGCAGTGGGCACCTCCCCCCCACCACCCATCACGAGAGTAATGGCAGCACTCAGGGCCTGCCGCTGAGCTGAGCAGTTAAGTGAGTGCAGGCAGGGGCTCCGTGCCTGTGTGTGTGTGTGTGTGTGTGTGTGTGTTGTGTGTGTGCACATGCACAGACACATTCCCCACTGGACAGCAGGCCTCTGAGAGTGGGGATTATGTCGAATGGTTTTTAACCACAGCATTTAGCTCAGTACCTCCCACAACAGCAAATGCTCAGTAAGGGTTTCCTGAATGAATTCTTTCTAGAGGCCATATGGCCATTAGGGACAAGTAAAGACAGAGCTACAAAGAAAGGAAATGGGAAAGAAAATCTTCCTGTTTGATTAAAACAGATGAATTATGACTCACCAGTGATCCTTTCACTGGGTGAATGGACTGCAGAGAATGCCTACTTTGTTCTTTGGCAGCTTTTGTAAAATGGACTCGACATCTAACAATAGGTCGGTGACAAGATAAATATGTATTTTAAATGAAAGCATCTACCTGTGTTACACACAACATACAGTACGAAGCATAAACTATTATATAAGAATACTTATGAGCTGAAAAATCGTCTTTCCCAATGTCTTTTACTCCTTTTGAATTTACAAGGCTCAAGTCCTACAGAATATTCTATCAGGCTCTGTACAACAATGTTCTGTCCTGGCCTGTCCCATCTTGCAGAGGAAACAGTTCCCTGGGACATGCTGAACTTGGCTTAATACAGTCTAGGAACTCAAAGAGTTGAAACACACTCTCGATGCATTACACAATGCACAGGAAATCTGTGCCAGAAGAATGTATTTCCAAATAGCACCGCATAAGTAGGGGCTTGTGTTTCTGGGGGTTACTGAGGCTCTCTCCTTTTCTCTGTCACTGTCCATTCTCCTTCAAGGTAGGGAGGCCCTGGTTCCCAGGGATGAAAGAGAGGAAGGCAGAATAAAAAATGTCCAAAAAGGATACAAAAGAAAAGTTTCCTGAAAATCTAATTTTCTATGGGAAATATTTTTTTAAATATTGTTAAAGAAGATTGTTTTCCAGGGGATAAGCCATAGACAGCAAGGACTCACTTCAGCTGTCTTCCTATATAAGCCCACTTTGTCTCAGTAGCCATGGAAGATTGGTGTTTGAGTGATTGAGAACACCCCTTAAGTCTTTCTTAGCATCTTCTCCCCCATTACTTGCTTAAGTCTATGGCTCATCTAACAGCTACAATGCTCCCCTCCTGCAACTTCCTGCCACTCCAACAAAATGGGGGCCCAAAGTGGTGATTCTGATTTGCCTATCTTCCAGCAAGAATTAAGTCCCAGGATGCACCCATTAGCAATATTCAATGAAGCAGAGATTTAGCAGCTAATGTGTAATTTCATTGTTCACAGACAGAACTTCTCCAATGGCACATGTTAAAATGGAGGAAAAAGAAGAATGTAAAATATTTCAGCCTGATCATCACACTGGAGCCTCCTACGTTTACATGGCAACCTCTATTTAGGGTTTGGTTGGAAATGTGACATTTGATGTCTCAGGACCCAGGGGAGAGGGGGCGGGCAGGGGGAGGGGCAGAGACACAGACAGATTGCCTGCTGGCAGCACTAGAGTATCAATTTACTCACGATACATATTCCCGAGCCATCCTGACATCGACTGGAGTGTCCGTTACAATTGCAGGGAACACATCGTCCGGTATACGGGCCTTTGTTATCGCGATAGTGCCCAGGACTACAACCCTATTTTTCAAACAAAGCATTTAGTCAATATAAAGAAAGAATTATTATCCAAAGCATGTGACAATTCTGACTGTCAAGCATTCGCTTGTTCAATCTTTTCTCCTTTAGTTGGTATGTGGATTTCTACTTTCAAACACTAGCCAGTCCACTGGCTCTTTTTTGTCAGGTTCTACCTTGTTTCCACACCACGGCAGGAATGTGTGCTTGTGCCAGAGCAGTAGATGTGTGGGGGGACATCAGAGAAAGGGGAGGAGTGGAAATGGCTTCCTCTCCTTCAACTGATTTAGGGCGAGTGGAGGGCTGGATATCAGTCTTTAGTGGGGAGGGTCTCTAGGCAAATCCCCTCAAGTTCTCTTTGGGTTGGGTAGGCATTTCATCTCCCAGGGTCGGTTTGGACTGGAGGGGGAGGCGGTATGGAAAGAAGGAGGACTAAAGAGTCTTCACTGGGATCGATGTAATAACGGCAGAAGCAGAGGAATCATGTCACGGCCACTCACTGGTCTATGGACAACAGGGAACCCCGGGGAGGGGAACATGCTTGCATTCTCTACAGAACCCTGCAGGGGTGTTCGGTTCCGCTGGGACACCCAGAGACCCAGCTGGAGGGACTCTCACTGGGCGTGGTCTTCTCTAGTTCAATACTGCTTTGATTATTTCTATCTCTAGCACATTGTCTCTTTCCAGTATGAGCAATTATTTTTCATATGGATGAAAGGAATTACAGTTTTCTTTTGATGAACTGATATTTAAAAAAAAAGAGTCTAGTTAAGAATGCTGCCCAAAAGAAAAAGAAACAATTCTTCCAACACCAGCCATTAAAAATTATTTAGATATTTTTCTGTATTTAAAGAGAATCAGACATTTTGCTTATTTTGGCAGAGTGCATCAGTGCACTGATCAACACCAAATGCTGCCCCCAGTTTCTTTAACTGACCTCCTCACATGCCCTATCTAAAATATCCAGAAAAAAATAATATTTCAAGATAAAAAATCATCTTTTATTTAATCCTCTTTAAACGGTACTATGTCTGTAAGACTCTGAAGCTAAAATCAAGGGAAATTTTTTAAATGAACAGTCCATTGTAATTTATTCAAAGGCTCTACCTGATCACATGGGAAAGAAGAAGCAGCCAACCTGAGAGGGCTGGAGAGAGAAGCCTCGTGTACTCCCCAGAGTAGAATATCCCAGTTTCTGATTGGAGCTTCTCCCCAAATTACCAATTACTACATATTGTACACAATAACAAGATTATCATTTCCACTATATTTTTCCTTTCAGCTATTAGAAGCCATGTTTAGGCAAAAGAAGCTATTGCAAAAAATGAGATTGCTTTATGTGTTATATGAATAGGCTTGTCTACAGGAGAATCAAAGTATGAAAGGAATGTTCTTTAATTGAAAACATGACTGAGAGATACGTTCGAACAAAATTCAGCCACTGGTGGTGATATCTACAAGCAAATACTCTCTACTTCTAAGAGGTACTACTAAGTACCTCTTAATTACCACCATATATCATGTTACATGCTTATGAAACAATCATATTTGGTAAAGGACAAATTACCCAAATAAATATATGTGGTTCATTTATGACAACGTGCCTGAGTAAAAAGCCTCAATTAAACATGCTTTGGAGGGAAGATAGTCCATCCTGATTAAAATGAAACCACCCACCCTAATTTGCTTTTGATTAGAAACAGAAAAAGTCCCCTGCAAGAGTTATGTACCTATCATGTGACTCTTAGGTAGAACGTTTGTCAGTTACTGAAATATAATCATTCTCTCACCTCTGTAAAGCACACAGATTGTACTGAAGACTTACCCTACATGAAAAGGGATGTATCCTAGTATACAATTTCAGTAAAGTGGTTTAGCAACTAACCATTTTTTTAAGTGACAATTTTTCAGGATAACTTTTCCAATAAACTTTTGTAGTACAAATGAGAAAATTATGTCCCTATCAGATTTTCAGGGCTATTTCAGGAGCCATAGGATCTATTTCTCTGAGTATATATGTAAATATCCAGAAAGTTGAGAGACAGAGAGAGAGAGCGAGAGAGATCGAGTGCACAGAATTTATGAGTGTTTAATGCCTGGCAAATTGAAGCATGTCTTGTTAGGTGTTCCACAAACTTGATCTCATCACTTTTCTTAAACACGGATTTCACTGATTCCCGTTGTTTACTCTATAGGTAAATTTTCTTCTAAGCAGAATTTGGAGGTCTACTGGGGCTTGGATTACTCTCCAAAGGGCACAAAGTTTCATAGTGTACTAACATCCCACAAACATTCAAACTCTGGCCTGTCTGGGCATTTCTAGGTGGGCTGATGTTTATAGGGTTTGTGGTTAACAGCTCAGGAGAGCAATCTGTCAGACACCTTAATAAACCCTGCCAGTCAACGGGACACGGAGGCTCCGGGCCCCTCCCCCAGCCCACCCATAACTCATTCATCCGCTTAACTTCCAAATGTCACAAAGCTCGGAACCCTTCCCCATCCCAAACCAGAACGTAAAAGGGATGTTACCTGGCTGGGTTTAAAGTCCACATAAGTTGCTTGCAGATGGCTTTGACCGGGAAGCTGAAGAAACGCTAACTTCTGCTGCTGTGAATTATATCCCAGACACTGCCCCAGGGCTGCCCCCAAGATCCACAGCCATCCGGCGCTCCTGGCTGACCACCTCACTGCTGGGGGCATCCTGGTCCCTGGGCGTCCTGCTGGCTGCGCGCAAACCTCTGCCTCTTCCTCTTATACCTGCCCTTCCTGCTCGGTGCCCAGGCCCGCCTGACTCAGGTGAGGCAGGCCGTCTGCGGCAGGAGGCCCCACCTGTAAACTTCACCCATGAGTCAGCCTGTGAGAGAGCACACATAACAGTCCCACAGGGAAGCATGCCGCTCTGTAATTCCTGCGAGGTGGGGCAGGCATCACCCTTCTACCCACCTTACCCCACAGACGGCACTAGCCGATTAGAGCCGCTGTAAATCACAGGCTGAGTCATGCGCAAAGAACACGCCCTGGGCAGGAGGCTGGTAATGGAGAGCTTCCACTCCTTCCCTGGGGCTAGGATTTTATTTAGGCAGGCTGGAAAAGAGATAGAAGGAAGGGGGAAAGAAGAAGGAAGGCACCTGTGGACTAAAGGTTACAAGACGGGAGTCTCTAGAAAACCAGAACAGGTCATCTATGTGCAGGTTAAAAAAGGAACTTGCACGCAGATCCCCTGGGGGCTTCCTGCTACGGAGGGATTAGGAGAGAAAGGGAAGGATGTTGCTGAGTGTACACACACCAGGTGTAGGGAATACACTGAGTGACAATGTTTGCTATTTCCTAATAACCGCACTAAACATTGTGCTTTCTTTCCCTCCCGTTAGGAAGAGAACATACTTACAGCTTGAGACATGAAACGGTTTCATTTTATGGCACATTTTAATCATCTGAGGCCAAGTCAGCCTGGCTGAGCCTCACATGAAGGTCTGCTGGGAGCTAGGCAATTGGGCCGCAACTTCCCCTGGAAGGATCAGGACAATCTCTGGGCTCTGAGTCTAGCAGCGGCAGGTGTCAGAGGGACCCTCCATTCGAGAACAGCCTGAGAACCCCAGGTCACCTAATGGGAAGGCAGTGGCTCAAATCCTGGGATGCCCACTGGCAGGCTCCTTCCTGCTTCCTGGAAAGTCCCGATTTCAACAACCCCCAGAACCCATCATCAGGTGCCTGAGGCTTTCCTGCGGAATTTGAGATGTTTGTCATTTCTTTTTCCTCTGTAAGACCTGGAGGTGGTCCAGGGACGATAGAGGCTAGAGCCCAGTAGACACCGGTCCGGCGGGCAGAGTGTTGCAGACCATCCGGCAGTGCCGAGTGCCACACGAGCCCCAGGGCATATTTTACAGGCGAGGAGAACTTCCTACCTGGCATGAGTCACCAGTGTAGTCAGGGGGGCAGGCACACATCTCGACGTTATGTGATCTGCGTCCACTTCCTGCGTCAGAGGCCTCCTCCAGCCCCACCCCGCTCAGAGAGAGCCGCTGGGTCTCAGTGAAGTAGAGGCCTCGGAGGCGCACATCTTCCAGTCTAGACAGTACCATCATCAGCTCTTCCCGGGACACCGGGGCACCGCTGCTGGCGTGTCGGAAGTTTCCCTACATGTGAAAACAGAGAGGCACGGTTTCCCTTCGGCAAGCTCACTTCTGGGGGTTTCAGAGAGGCAGACACCCAGCACAAGTCAAAGGAAAGACATTTACAATGCATATGGAAGAACAGAACAGAACAGAATAGAATAGAGTAAGAAGATAGTGGATTTGTATTCAGAAGTCAGGTGTCCCGGGTTATTCCCAAGAAGAGAGTGCCACATGAAAGGGGAAAAATGAAGTCAGGAAATAAGGAACAGTAAAATGAAATGAGATTTCCCAGTGTTATACTTATTTTAAAATGTACTTTCGTGGGTGCAAGCACACACTAAGTGAGAATGATATGGGAGAGAGGCACATGGAAACCCACTGGGTCATGCAGTTAGATCATCCATTAAATGTAAATAACTGGGACAGAAAGCACAATCTTTTCTTGCACATACACATTTATATTATTTTATTTTACTTTTACAGTAGTAAAAAAACACATAATGTAATATTTACAATCTCAACCATTTTTAAGTGTACAGTATAATAGTGTTAATTTTATTCACATTGTTGTGCAACAGATGTCTAGAACTTTATCACCTGGCAAAACAGAAACTCTGTACCTATTAAGCAATAACTCCCATTTCCCGCCCCCCCCCCCCATTCCTGGCAACCACCATTCTACTTTCTGATTTTAAGAATTTGACTACTTTAAATACCTCATATAAGTGGAATCATGCAGTATTTGTCTTTTTGTGACTGGCTTATTTCGCTTAGCATAATGTCATCACATTATTCTCCAGCATCTACCTAACTAGAACTGTCATATTCTAGCAAGTGACAGGATGATAGAATATTCCAATATATGTGTATATCATATTTGCTTTATTCATTAATAGACATTTCAGTTGTTTCCACCTCTGATCTACTGTGAACAGTGCTGCAATGAATATGGGTATGCAAATAGCTCTTCAAAACCCTGTTTTCAATTCTTTTGGATATATACCCAGAAGCGGGATTCTTGGACCATATAGTCATTCTATCTTTAAATTTTTGAGGAGCCTCAATACTGTTTTCCACAGTGGTTACACTGTCTTATAGTCTCACCAACAGTACACAGATGTTCCAATTTCTGCACATCCTCCCTAACACCTGTTATTCTGTCTTTTTATTTTTATTTTTTTTAAGATTTTATTTATTTATTTGACAGAGAGAGACACAGCAAGAGAGGGAACACAAGCAGGGGGAGTGGGAGAGGGAGAAGCAGGCCTCCCTTGGAGCAGGGAGCCCGATGTGGGGCTCGATCCCAGGACCCTGAGATGATGACCTGAGCCGGAGGCAGACGCTTAACGACTGAGCCACCCAGGCGCCTCTGTTTTTTATTTTTTTAATAGTAGCCATTTCAATGACTATAAGGTAGTATCTCATTGTGGTTTTAATTTGCATTTCTCTTATGATTAGTGATGTTGAGATCTTTTCATATATAACTTTATATTCTGCTGCCTCCTTTAAACTTGGTTTCCACATCTCTTAAATGAGCATAGTAACACCTAATCTCTCAGAACTATGATGAATATTAAAGCAAATTAAATAATATAATGTATATAAAGTGTTCAGCACAGTGCCTAGCACATAGTCACCATTCAATAAATGGTAACTACTGTTATTTACATATAAATATGATAGTAATATGATTTTAGTTTAAATTTTTAACAGCTTGAGGTATGATTTACATACAGTAATAGTCCCTTATTTTAAGTATACAATTTTTAGTAAATTTATAGAAGTATACAACCATCACCACAATATAGTTTTACATTTTCATCCCCCAGAAAAAGAACCTTTGTGCCCATTTGTATTTACTACCTAGTCCCACTCAGAGCCCCAGGCAACCACTAATCTATATTCTGCCTTTATAGATTTGCCCATGCTGGGCCATTTATGTAAATATGAACCGGATTTCAATAGTCCACAAAAACTTTGCTTCTATTCACTTCATTTCCTCCCCCTCTCTATTGTGCTATTATTGTCATATACATCACGTCTTTATAAATTGTATGCTGATCCACACAGAACAATAATTATTGCTTTAAGCCGTTACCTTTTAAATCAGAAGAAAAAAAAGTTACAAACAAAAGATATATTTTTACTACCTTTTATATTTACTTATATAGTTACCTTTACTAGCACTCTTCATTTCTAATATGTATTGAAGCTATTGTCTATAGTGTCTTTTCATTTCAGTCTAAAAGATTCCCATTATTATTTCTTACAAGAAGGGTTGGTTAGCACTGAATTCTCTTGGTTTTGTTTATAATGTAATGTTTTCCTTTCTCCTCCATTTTGGAAGGACATTCTGCTGTTTATGTAATTCTTTGTTGACAGTGTGTTTCTTTCAGCACATTGAATGCCACCCCATTGTCTTCCAATTTCCATGGTTTCCGGTGAATAGTCAGATGTCAACCTTATTGAGAACCCTTGGATGTGAAGTGCTTCTCTCCCACTGCTTTTAAGATTCTTTGTCTTTGTCTTTCAGAATCTTTACTATTGATGTTTCTGTGTGTGGATCTCTCGCATTTATCCTAGTTGGAGATGGTTGAGCTTGGATGTGTAGATTAATGATTTTCATCAAATCTGAGAAGTTTTCAGCCATTATTTCTTCAAATATTGTTTCTCTCTCTTTCTCTCCTCTCCTTCTGTTACTCCAATTATGCATATGTTGTACAGTTGATTGAGCCTCACACGTCTTTGAGGGTCTTTGTTTTCCTTCATTCTTTGTACTTTCTGTTCTTCAGACTGGATAATCTCAGTTGATCTTCAAATTTGCTGCTCCTTTCTTTTGCCTGCTCAACTCTGTTGTTGAGCCCTTGTCTTAGCTCTGGCTGCCATAAGAAAGTACTATAGACTCAATGGCTTAAATAAGAGAAATATATTTTCTCACAGTTCTGGAGGCTAGAAATCCCAGATCAAGATGCCAGCCAGTTTGGTCCCTGGTGAGAACTCTCTTGCTAGCTCACAGATGCTTGCCTTCTCACTGGGACCTTAGTTGGTGGACAGAGAGAGTTTTCTGGGATCTCTTATAAGGACATTAATTCTATCAGATCACATCTCTACCCTCATGATCTTATTTAACCTTAATTACTTCTTTGTTCCAAATACACTCAAACTAGAGATCAGGGCTTCAACACATAATTTTGGAGAGGACACAATTCAGTCCATAGCAGCTCTTCTAGTGAATTCTTCATTTCGGTTATTGTAATTTTCAACCCCAAAATTTCTATTTGGTTCTTTTTAATAATTTCTATTTCATTATTGGTATTTTCTATTTGGTGAGATATTATTCTCATATTTTCCTTAAGTTCTTTAGACATGGTGTTCTTTAGTTCTTTGATGTATGTTGATTTAAAGTCTTTGTGTAGTAAGTCCAATGTCTGGGCTTCCTCAGGGACAGTTATATTTATTGCCTTTCTCCCCTGTGTATGGACCAGGCTCTCCTGTTTCTTTTTCAAGTCTCAAAAAAATTTTTATTGTTTGTTTGTTTATTTATTTATTTATGACAACTGGACATTTAACATAATGTAATGTGGC